ATGTGTGTATGTATGTATGTATGTATATATGTATGTATGTATGTATATAAATATATATGTATATGGATGTGTATATGTATGTATGTATGCATACATGCATGCATGCATGCATGTGTGCATGTATGTATGTATGTATACATATATGTATATATGTATATGTACGCCCTCCAATGGATCTGTTGCGTTTAATCACGGCACAACGGAACCGGTAAAAAAAATGCCCTGTCGTTTCCAGGCGCCGCCCTCCCTGAAGGTACACACGAAGTTCTTTGGAGGGCGTCTGTGTATACACTGGTGGCGCGCGAGGCGTGGGAGGTCTGGGACCTTAGTGGTGCCCTCGCCATGCCGAGGTCCCGGCGGGCGGGGACACGCCGGACATCTGCGGCGTGGGGTGCTGCCTCCTCTGATGGGCTTGTTTTCCACCACCACCACCACAAGTTGGAGGGGGAGGAGGGGGAGGAGGAGGAGGAGGAGGAGGAGGAGGAGGAGGAGGAGGAGGAAGAGAAGGAGGAGGTGGAGGAGGAGGAGGAGGACCTCCCCCCCCTCCAACTTATGGTGGTGGTGGTGGAAAACACGCCCATCATCCTCTTCTCCCCACCTCCCGGGCGGGCAGCAGGGACACAGCCCGGGCGCCGCAGAAGGAACCCTTTTTTCGGTGAGGAGGGGCTCAGTATTCGTGACTCGGTCTGCAGCTTTTTGTCGGGGGAGCGTAAGACCCGGGTTTGCCGGGACTCGGGTTCGCCATCGTTTTTTGACGACCGCGACTCGGATCTTGACGAGGAGGAGTTTCGTGGGACGTCTGCAGCGGGGGGCCTCGTCAAAATGCAGGCTCGGCCTCGTCATTTTTTTGACGACCTCGTCGGGGATTTCCGAGTCTCCCGTAACCGGGTCTTACGTCTCCCCGATTTTGGGTCCCGCAAAGAGGGGGGGGGGTGCGCCCCAGGGGGGGGATGCGAGTTCGATCGGTTTTGGCACCGAGCCGCCCGAAACAGATGACCCCCAGCCGTCGGCGGCTCCCGATAATTGCCGATTGGTGGGGCATGCGGGGGGCATCTGTTTGAGGCAGTCCAGTGCGCCAAAGGATCGATTTCATGCCCCCCCTCAGGGTCCCCCCCCCCCCCCTTTTGGTGGATCCATCCCGATGTTCGTTGGGGGCTGTCCTCAGGTTCTCTTAGGTTGTCCTCAGGTAATATTCGGGCATGGCCAGGACCCCAGGTAAGGGGACCTGGTTAGTGGTAGGGCCCCAAAGCTTGTGAATTGGCCAGAATCGTTAAACCAGGTTTGCCATAGCTGGTGTTTTTTCGGGTGGCGGCAGCTCCGGTTAGTGGAACGGGGCCTGGGGGTCGCCCCCCAGTGCACATCCCTAAACCAGGTCCCACTAAACCCAGTTCTGCCAACGCCCGAAATCTGCGGGAGGTCAAAAGTGTAACGTATGGAAAGAGGGGAGGCCTCGTTCCTCATCGAGGCTTCCTGATGGCAGCGTTTCGACTGCGGCTCAGCAGCGCTCAGAGGGAGGTACCCAGACCCACTCGCTGTTGTGAACAAGTCACGACCGGGGGCTTTTCACGATTTACGGCCTCGGGGAAGGGCGAGGAGGAGGAGGAGGAGGAGGAGGAGGAGGAGGAGGGAGGAGGAGGAGGAGGAGGAGGAGGAGGAGGAGGAGAAGGGAAGGGCGAGGAGGAGAAGGTGGAGCGCGGCGCCGCGAAGTCAAAACGAGGACCCTACACACAGGAGGGCTGGGAATGATGGCGGTAGGTTTGTAGGTTTTGGGCAGTTTTCGGCCTCTGGGGGGCCCTCGCCGGGCCCCAGGACCGTTGAGAAGCGGCTCAGGACGAAAAACTGGTCCTGGGGAATGGGTGCAGACCTCTGGGGGGTCCACTTTGCAAAAAGATCACGACGTCGGGGGTCTGGATCCTTAGAAGCATCTTTGGTTCTTAGAAGGCAAGGCGTGGGCCTCATCTATAGATGTCAGGCCTGGGCCAGTGCCTCATACGAAGCAGCCGAAGCAGCCTCCTTCTGAGAAGCCTTCCCCCCTCCCCCCCCTTCCCTCTGCGCACCGCCGAATAGCACCAGACCTCGACAACTGAGTTCCAGGCGAGGTTTTGAGCAGTCGACGCAAGACTGTAGGGTTTGGAGGGCTATGATTTGTTACGCACTCTGGAAGGTAAAGGACTCCCCCTTGCCCCTCTCCTCTCCCCCACCGGAGCTTCTGGAATCGAGGCGTCAGACACTGATTCGGAATTGCACGTTTTGGAGGCCCGCGCGGATATCCTGGCTCGGCGCTGGGCTCACCCCCGCCCCTCCCTAACGAACGAGCAGCACGCACAGAGACACCCATACCCATGGGGGACCGGAGAGAGGAGGACTGGCTATTATGGGTAGGGGTGCGGGCTGCCAGAACCTGGGGGAGGCGCTTGTTCGGGCGGGGACCCCCATCAGACAATACGCACCCACAGCCCCCTTCCCCCCCCCTTTGGGTTTGGATGCGTGTTGTTCGTTCGTCACCTCTCCTGGCGCGCGGAGCAAGCCGGAGGCGCCGCCAGGGGGGTCCAGCGCAGACCCAATTGCAATGCGCGCGGGCCTCCTGTTCCTTCTTTCCAGGACCACCAGGTCGAGGGCCAGTGCTCGCGTATTCCCTGACCTTCCAGAGTGCTAAAAAATAGCCCTCCAGACCGATGGACCTATCTGGACTGCCTAACACCTCGGCGGGGATTTAGGCGTCCAAGTTCTGCTGCTCTTTTTCAGTCCTCCTGGAATGTCAGGGTTCCCCCCCCGCTTTCCCCAGACAGTGCTTGCACTTAGGGGTTCTCACTTCGCTTCGAAAGGACAGTGCCCAGTTGCCGGTCCAGCGGCCGGCTTCTTGCCGCCCGTCGCCGCGCGGTGCCGCTGTTTTTTGTTGCCATGTTGATTGTTCTCTGCAGTGTTTTACACTGCTGTGCATTGTTTTGCTTTGCGTTGCATTGCTTTGTAATCGCATTGCGTTGCTTTTCATGGCTTTGCATTGCTTTGCATTGCTTTGCGCTGCACTGCGTTCGTTGCTTTGCGTTGCTTTGCAGGACATCGATTGCGCCACATGGATTGCACCACATGGACTGCACCACATCGACTGCACCACCTAGATTGCACCGCATAGGTTTCGGGGGTGGACAGAACCCCCAACAGTGACACGTCGATTAGTGAATTGTCCGTTTTCGGTTCTCGAGAGGGTGCCGTGGCCGTTATTTTACAGGCTTCCGCCCGCCAGGTTTGGGCCTCAGGTCGTTTCCACTAAACGACGTTGTACTAAAGGGGGGTCTGTCCATCCCCGAAGGTTCTAGGACATCGCTGTTTGGGGTTCGCGTCGACCCGCATTGGTTTATCGGCTCTCCCTGTGCCCTCCGGAATTTCGGAGGACCCCCTGGCTGCTCTCGGAAGGCCTCCAGGACCGCTCGGCCTCTCTCCCCTCGGACCCCCCCGGACCTCCCCCCATCGCCCGAACAACAAGGTACAGGCCTCGGAACAAATTAGCGAACACATGCCACAGTCATCCGTCAACGCCTCCCCCTCCCGTTCAAAGTTGGCGGTGGGTCTGGTGAGATGCACTTCGATCGCAGTCTCCCCCCGCGCGTGCCAACATTGAGTTTGGGGGGGAGGGGGAGGGTTCAGTACTTGTTTCCCTCTACCGTACAAACCCAGCCCTGCTCCTCCCGGACCCACGCTGCCTTCCCGGGGCAGGGCTGGAGCGCTGTAGCACGAGAAATACGACGATCTCAAACCGACACTGCGCCGGAGGTCCGCGCGAATTGTTTTGGGTCGGCGCTGGATGCGCCCGGGGCGGCGCTGCAGGCGCCGACAGGGGGTCCAGCGGCTCTGTCCTTAAGCCAGGCCTGGCCCTCTACAGGAGGAAAATTTAAAAAGAGCCAAACACATAATACGGGGGCGATTCTTTTTATTATGATTTATCATGTTGGAGTATGTTTGTCTGTTTTTTCATGTTTCGTCCAAAATCCGCCTGTAGGGGGACATGCCCGACCTAGGTCTATCCAGCACCCGTCCAAGACATCCGCACACATCTCTGGAAGCGTGTTTTCATACAAATAGTTGCTGGCAAACGAGGCTCCTCTTTCTTTTGCTCGTTTTTTGTTGCAATCCGCGGCCCATGACCCATCATGAACCCATCGTGATCCCTTCCCCAGGAGTATCGTTTCGTCCGGGGTGCATTGTTGACAGTCTAGAGACCAGAGAACGGCCCCCGAGGTCCGAGAGTGAAGCGAGACGCCGGCATGGAGAACAACGCTCCGCCAGATTTCCGCTCCTCCTCCGGACTTCTGACTTCGTTGCTTTTTGTTCACAACGTGGCCCCCCACAGTCCTGGATCCTCAGGGACCGGCTTTTCATCCTATGAGTCGTTCTTTGATGACCCCCGGGCCCAGCGAGGGCCCCCGGATGCTGAAGATTGCCCCCAAATTGCCCGTCATGCACTTGCGACTCGAGGGTGCCAGGGCTCCCGCTCCTCCTGCTGCCTCCCCTCCTCTTCGAGGATGATCCTCAGAGCATGCGTTGGCCCCCTGTATGCTGACCACGCTCAGCTCCTTCGGCATGTGCGCCTGCACCACCGGCGACGTGCTGAAAGGCTTCGGCGAGCGAACACATGCTGGCGTTATCCAGACAGCCTCCAATTGGGGTCGAGCAGATGGTGTCGGAGGACCGCGCCGTAGCGCTGATGCATCAGAGCTGCGGCTCGGTGTGGAGCCCCACTTCTGCCACACCAGCGTCGCCGATGCTGCACAGCCGATGCGATGCCACCCTTGAGGGAGGCATCCAGAAACAATGCATGCTGTTGGGATCATCGGTCCTCCCTCCTCCTCCTCGTCCTCCTCCTTCTCCTCCTCCTCCTCCTCGTCCTCCTCCTTTTCCTCCTCCTCGCCCTCCCTCTTCGGTTCAAGCGCCGCAACCGCAGCATCGAGACCTTCCCCCGGGGCGAGGGCGCGCTCTGCGCCCCCCGCGTCAAGGACGAGGTCATGCCCGTGGTGAACTGCCGCGGCCGCCCCCGGGGGAGGGCGGGGGCGGCGCAAAAGCGGTCACTCTTCGAGGCGGAGGCCCAATGCAGATGATCGGGCGGAGACCCACGCAAATGATCGCGTCGGGGGAGAGTCAGGGCGGGAGGCCTGTGGCCATCCTCGGCCCCTTTGGGGGGCCCATCGCCGGGCCTCGGGGCCGTCGGAAGAGGACTCGGAGCGCAGGGGAGGGGTCGGGGCTTCCAGGAGCGCCGCCCCGAACAAATCAGGGCGTCGCACGTCCGGAGGTTCAAGCAGTGGCGAAGCGGCCCGGCTCGCCTAGAGCCCTACCAAACAATGTTCTAAGAACCTTTTTGTGGTTTCCACGAAATGTTCTTAGAACATTTCTGGCGGAGGTCGTCTTGGCTTAACACATCGGGCTTATGTTCTAAGAGCACTGCTTTTGTTCTTAGAACATTTTTGGGTTCTAAGAACATTTCGTGGCAGGACTATAGGAATTGTGGGACGGTCGGTCCCTGCTCAAGAGATGTATCTGCCACCACCGCCGGGGGCATGGATGTTCGAGAGCCTCGGCCGGCGGTGGAGGTGGATGAGGCTCGGGCGGTGGAGGCGGTGAGCAGCCATGGTTGTGTCGGGCGTGTCCCCCTACAGGGGGATTTTCGACGAAAAATAAAAGATACCCCAAAATACATCAAAAAGGCCAAAACATAGTAAACAAATAGTCCCCAGACTATTTTCTTATTATTATTATTTGATTCTTTTGGGGGTATTTTTTATTTTCCTCGAAAATCCCCCTGTAGGGGGACAGGCCCGACATAAAGCCATGGCCTCTTCCACCGCATGCCGAAGTCCCCGGAGGCCGATGCTGCAGGCGGAGGTGAAGGATAGATCCCTGCCTCGCTGTTCTGCTCGCAGGCGGCCGCGCCGCGGTGTGATGGTCGAGCGGCTTCGAGCTTTCAAGGCTGAACGATCCAAGCAGCGTCAGAAGCCCTGCTCTCCGCCGGTGGGATTGTTTCCATCCGCGGCCCGGGAGGACCCGACAGCTTCCCTGCGGGTATTTCGTTTTTCGCCACGTATATATATATATATGTTTATATGATGGTCCGGATATTTGTTCTGGGTGCTCGAGATTATATCTGGGATGTGGTTTTTGAGCACGATGGGAGCAACACAAGTCCAGGTGCCCAAGAATAGCCCTTTTAAGCCGAAGTCTGGGGAGATCGCCTGGATTGCAAATTATCCCGGCAAAGCAACCTAACAGCGATGTGTAGAAGCATATCTGAAAGCATTCTCCTTAAGATTCAGATGAAAATCCAGTTGTAGAATTCTGCTGTTCTCGCAGTCGTAGTCGCATTCGCGATGACAGTCGCAGCGGCAACGGCAGTCGCAGTCACAGCCTCAGCCTCAGCCTGCCTCAGCCTCAGCCTCAGCCTGCCTCAGCCTCAGCCTGCCTCAGCCTCAGCCTCAGCCTGCTTCAGCCTCAGCCTCAGTCTGCCTTCAGCCTCGGCCTCAGCCTCAGCCTGCCTCAGCCTCAGCCTGCATCAGCCTCAGCCTCAGCCTCAGCCTGCCTCAGCATCAGCCTGCTTCAGCCTCAGCCTCAGCCTGCCTCAGCCTCAGCCTCAGTCTGCTTCAGCCTCAGCCTCAGTCTGCCTTCAGCCTCGGCCTCAGCCTCAGCCTGCCTCAGCCTCAGCCTGCCTCGGCCGCAGCATCAGCCTGCCTCAGCATTCAAAATGTGGCCCAGGAATGGAGTTCTGGGAACTAGAAAAACACGAAGTGGCCTACAGTTGGCTCCGGGCATTCAAAATCATGCCCAGGAATGGAGTTCTGGGAACTTGAAGAGCACGAAGTGGCCTACAGTTGGCTCCGGGCATCCAAAATGTGGCCCGGGAATGGAGTTCTGGGAAATCGAAGAGCACGAAGTGGCCTACAGTTGGCTCCGGGCATCCAAAATGTGGCCCGGGAATGGAGTTCTGGGAAGTCGAAGAGCACGAAGTGGCCTACAGTTGGCTCCGGGCATCCAAAATGTGGCCCGGGAATGGAGTTCTGGGAGCACCAAAAGCGATTTTGCGAGGATGTCCCAAGCGATTTCGGCTTCGGCGGCAGCCTCCCCGGGTCCCGCCCAGACCCCCCTGAGGAGTCATGATGCTCTCTTTTGAGACCACTAGAAACCTATCAGCAAGAGCTGTTAGGTAATGAAAAACAATTCGTCGGTGATGATTTGGGAACAAGCGCCGGGGTTGTCACACGACGCGAACCTGCAGGAGGAGAAGGGGGAGGAGGAGGGTCAGGAGGAGGAGGAGGAGGAGAAGGAGGAGGAGGAGGAGGAGGACGAGGAGAGCGAGGAGGAGGGGGGGGAGGAGGAAGAGGAGGTGAAGAACGCGGAGGAGGAGGATGACGAGGAGGAGGAGGAGGAGGACGAGGAGGAGGAGGAGGAGAATCGAAGAGAAGGAAGAGGAGGAGACGGCGTGTGAGAAGGGCTGCGCCCACCTGGCATCGAAGCCCGCACCCGTGAAGGCCATGAAGGAGAAGCTTGAGGAGGAGTTGAGGCGAAACAGCAGGGAACCAGGAGGATGAGGATAAGGATACATGAGAATGAGACGGAGGAGGAGGAGGAGGAGGAGGAGGAGGAGGAGGAGGAGGAGGAGGAGGAGGAGGAAGAAGAGGAGCATGATAGAGAATGAGGACGAGGAGGAGGCGGAGCAGGAGGAGGGCGAGGAGGAGGAGGAGGAGGAGGAAGAGGATCGAGGAGAAGAGAAGGAGGCGGCGTGTGAGGAGGGCTGCGCCCACCTGGTATCGGAGCCCGCGCCCATGAAGGCCGTGAAGGAGAGGCGTGAGGAGGAGTTGAGGCGGAGAAGAAGGAGGAGCGAGGAGGATGAGGATGCGAATGAATGAGGAGGAGGAGGAGTAGGAGGAGGAGCGAGGAGCGAAGAGGTGGAGGAGGACGAGGAGGAGCGAAGAGGAGGAACGAAGAGGAGGAGGAGGAGGTGGAGGTGGAGGAGGTGGAGGAGGACGAGGAGGACGAGGAGGTGGAGGAGGAGCGACGAGGAGGAGGAGGAGGAGAAGGAGGAGCAGGATGATGAGGAGGAGGAGAAAGAGGACGAGCGAGGAGCGAGGAGTGGAGGAGGAGTAGCGCGGAGAGGGACGAACGATGCGATGGAGCCATGAGGAAGGGGCTGCCTCCTGGTCTCCCCCCTCGCCCCTCCTCCCCCCTGGACTTGTTTATGCCGCGTGCCTGCTGGCCCTGGAGGCCAGCCCGAGTGCTGCATCGACGGCGAGTGGGACGACTGGGCCGACTGGGGCGCGTGCAGCGCCAGCTGTGGCAGCGGCACGAAGAGCAGGCGGCCCGCGGAGGAGGAGGAGGGACTCGGCATCGCTCGGACGTGTGCAACTTTTCCTTCGGCGAGGGCCCTCGAGGAGCATCCTTGATCATTTTGCGGAAAAAAAACAAACCACGCACGAACCCCCCTAAAAAAACACTGGGAATGGACGTCCAAGCGATGGCGAGGGGAGGAAGGGGATCAGGAGAAGATGGGGAGAGAGCGAGGGTGGAGGAGGGGGAGGAGGAGGATGAGAGGATGGTGATGATGACGATGATGATGATGAGCATGCTGATGACGATGATGGTGGTCATGATGATGATGATGATGATGATGATGATGCTGATGATGATGATGATGATGATGATGCTGATGATACTGGTGATGATGATGTTGCTGATGAAGAACATGATGATGATCGATAAGATGTTGATGATCAGGAGGAGGAGGAGGAGAACGAGGAGGAGAAGCAGGAGGAGGAGCGAGACGAGGACCGTGATGATACCGCTGATGCTGATGATTATGATGAGTATGATGATGATGCTGAGGATGATACTGATGATGATGGTGGTTATTGCGTGGAGGCGCATACCGTTGGTGTTATTGCCGGTTGTGGTGATGATGATTATTATGATAATGCTCACACCGGTGATGAGGATGGTGAGTTTCATTATGACGATTACGACGACGATGACGTGTGAGATGACGATGACGATGATGGTGGTTCTCTTGCCGATGATGATGATGATGATGATGATGATGATGATGAATATGAGGATTATGATGATTATGATGATGATGATGATGATGATGATGCTGGTAACGATGACGGTGATGGTGGCTAGGATGATGATGTTAATGATGATGCGGAGGAGGAGGAGGATAAGGAGGAGGATGAGGACCATGAGGAGTAGCAAGGCGAGGGCCGTGATGATCTTGCTGATGTTGCTGATGGTGATGTCTCTGGTGCTGATGCTGTTGCAGTTGATGTTATTTCCGAGTGTGATGATGCGGACGTTTGTTGTATGATGATGTTGTCACCGAAGATGGGGAGGGTGAAATTATGATGACGATTGACCCTGCCCCCCGATAATAATGTGCACCCCTCCCTAGCCATTGAGTGATTGTTATCGGCGGCCAATAGAGTTTTGGTAGGGGGAGAGAGGCGGCAAGGCCGAACTTGATAATCGCGGAGGGAAGTTGCGAATCGAAGTTGCTCTCTTCTTACGTATGTCTAGTAGCAAGGATTACTAAGATCCAGGTGGGTATCCTGAGGCTGCATATGGTTGTCCCAGGGAGCCTCATGGATGTCCGAAGGGTTCCGATGGATTTCCCCCCGATGCCTATGGATGTCCCAAGGAATCCGATGGATTTCCTTTGGATGCCCTAAGGACTCCTATGGATGTCCCAAGGACTCATGAATTTCCTGAGGGACCCGATGGGTGTCCACAGGGAACCAATGGATTTCCGACAGAACCCGATGGATTCCGAAAGAAGTCCTATGTATTGCCTCAGGCATCCTATGGACGTCCTAAGGAATCGATTGTTTAAGACGAGCCCTATAGATTTCCGAAGGAACCCGATGGATGTCCCACGGAACCCCATGGATTCCCTAGAGAACCCTGTGGATCCCTTAAGGGATCTTATAGGTTTCATCCGGAGTCCTTACCACTTCCTGAGGAATCTGGATGGATTGCCGAAGAAACCCCACGCATGCCTGAAGATGCCTTAGGAAATCCATAGGGTTCCAGCGGCAATCCAAAGGAGGCCTTCGGAAATCCATTGGGTTCCTCAGGAAATCGATCAGATCCCGCAATCCATCGGGCTCCCAGGAAATCGGGAGGAATACTTAGGAAATCCATCGTTGCATGGGGAACCCATGATATTCGTTAGGAACCCATAGTATTCCCGAGAAATGCCGTAGGGTCCTTTATGACATCTATAGGAATCCTGAGGACGTCCGTAAGATCCCTTAGGTACTTGCGATGATGATTATGATATTGATGATCATGATGATGGTCATGGTGGTGGTGATGCTGATCATGGTAACGATTATACTTGTGGTGATGATGGTGGTGATGGGGGTGGATCTGGTGATGATTATGGTGATGCTGGTTCTGACAATGATGTTGGTTCAGGCGGTGATCATGATGTTGATGACAAAGATGATGCTGATGATGATTATGATGATGATGATGATGATGATGATGATGATGATGGTGCTGCTGATGTTGATTATGGTGGCGGATGGTGGTGATGTTGCCGATAATGACGGATATGCTGATGTTGATGATGGTGATGCTGATGATGGTGGACGAGGAGACGTACGAGGATGAGGAATATGACGAGGAATGTGATGACGAGGATTGTGTTGACGATGGCGACGGGGACGACCAGTATGATGATAATGATGATGACCTTGCTGACGTGGTGAGGATGATAATGAAGATGGTGATGGTGGTTGAGGTGAAGATGGTGATGATGATGATGCTGATGATAATGATGATGATGATGATGATGATGATGATGATGATGATGATGATGATGATGATGATGATGATGATGATGATGACGATGATGATGATGATGCTGATGATGATGATGATGATAGGAATTTTGATCGTGGTGGCGGTGGGGAGGAGGAGGAGGAGGAGGAGGAGGAGGAGGAGAAGGAGGAGGGTAAGTGGGCCAGCACCCCGTGTCGCCCCATCCTCCTCCCTTTCCCCGTCCTGCTGCGCCTCCCATTCCCCCTCCTCCCTTCCCTGGTTTGTTGCTACGCTCTTCTCGCCCCCGCCATCCCACTCCCCTCCTGCCCCCCTCCTTCACTGCTCCCCTTCTCCCCGAAGTCGTCCCACCTCGCTCCCCCCCTGCCCGCTGGACTCTCATCCCTCCTGCCTTCCTTTACATCCCTCCCTTTTGTTACTGCTCTCTCTCTCTCTCTGTCTCTCTCTCGTTCCCAGACATCCGACGTCGCAACGTGGTTCTCCAGAGGCTTGCACCTCCTTCCATGTACCGGCTTTTCATCCCGAAACGTCTTTTTGCTTGGCGGTCCCTGTGCCCCCGGCAAGGGCCCCTGGACGCTGAAAATTGTCAGTCAAGAGCTGTCCGTCGTGATTTTCCCCACGACGCGAGGATACCAGGGTCACCCTCCCCTCCTGCTCCACCTCTCCCTCCTCCGCGAGGCAGCGAGTCCTGGCCGTCCGGGAGACGTGGTGCGGGAAGCCCGCCCGCGGCTCCGGTGCCGCCTGGGGGGGGGGAGAAGGGAGCAGTGCGAGGAACCCGCCGCCCCCCCTACAGTTAAGTCGGGCCTGTCCCTGTATAGGGGGAATATTCAAAAACAGTCGAAAAGTAGTCTGGGATTATTTTTAGAATATTTTGGGGCATTTTTTGAGCATTTGTTGGGGTATTTTCTATTTTTCGTCCAAAATCCCCCTTGTTGGGGGACAGAACCGACAGAATCCTACGGATGTCCGACGACCAGATTGCTTCAATCGCGGCGAGTTTCGTGGCGAGCCGTTGGGTCGTTTGCCACGGGTGGGTGGCTGCTTCCCGCCGGCCGAGGCCCGAAGCGCCCCTGGGGCCCGGAACGCCCCTGGGGAAAGCAGAGCAACGAAAACCAGTTAGCGTGGCGAAGGACCCCACCAGATGCAGTTGTGAATACCGCAATTATGAATCTCATCTTCGCCCGCGTTCCCTATTGGGCCACGAACCGTGTGCGGGGCGTGCCGATATGCGTGGCTGGGCACACAACGCGAGCGAAGACGATAGGTTTGTGTGCGAGAGACTGAAAGCGAGTGAGTTTGATCGTGGATGAGTCTGCGCGCGCGTGAGTCTACGTGCATAAATGTCGACGCCCATACTGGCACGCCTCTCACGAGGATCGCGTCCGTTTCCGCCCCGTTCTTTTTCTCCCTCTTTGCCCGTGCACGCCCACGTCCAAGGCTGCGGGCGCGGCGCCGCTCGGAGTCCCCGCGACGCGCGCTGGTCGCCCCGAAGTGGTCCCGGCGACGCGCGCGGGACGTCCGCTGCCGGAGCAGAGAGAGCGAGCAGGCTGGCTCCCGCCCGGGACGCGCGGCCCGAAAGCGGTTTCAATACGTCGAATGCAAAGAGAAAAAATCAGAACATCGAAAGTCGCCGCCATGCGCACTCCGCCACTGGGCCGCCATGCGAAATCCGACACGGAAGCCTTTTGTGGAGCTCCGTGGGGACACGAAACGCTGTACTGGGTGGTGGATGACACACGCGGGGGCGGTCCCACTGGTGCCTTCGGTGGAACCCCCTATGGGGCCACGAAGCGTTGTACAGGTTGGTGGATGACGCATGCGGGCGGTCCCATTTGGGCCTTCGGTGGAGCTCCCCATGGGGCCACGACGCGCTGTACTGGGTGGTGGATGACGCACGCGGGCGGTCCCAGTGAAGCGTTCGGTGGAGCTCCCTATGGGGCCATGACATGGTTCTGGGTGGTGGATGACGCATGCGGGCGGTCCTTCTGGGGCCGTCGGTGGAGCCCTTTATGGGGCCACGAGACGATGTACTGGGTGGTGCATGACGCACGCGGGCGGTCCCAGTGGGGCTTTTCGGGGGAGCCCCCTTTATGGGGTTACGAAACGTTGTGCTAAGTGGTGGATGACGCATGCGGGTGGTCCAACTGGGGCCTTCGGTGGAGCTCTCTATGGGGCCACGAAATGCTGCGCTGGGTGGTGGATGGTGGAGCCGCTTATGGGGCCACGAAGCGTTGTATTGAGTGGTGGGTGACACATGCGGGCGGTCCCACTTGGCCCTCCGGTGGAGCTCTCAATGGGGCCACGGAGCGCTGTACTGGGTGGTGGGTGACGCATGCAGGCGGTCCCACTGGAGCCTTCGATGGAGCCCAGTATGGAGCCACGAAGTGCTGTGCTGGGTGGTGGATGACGCACGCGTGCGGTCCCACTGGGGCGTTCGGTGGAGCTCCCTATGGGGCCACGAAGCGCTGTGTTGGGTGGTGGATGACGAATGCGGGCGGTCCCACTGGGGCCTTCGGTGAAGCCCCCTATGGGTCAAGAAACGCTGCACGGGGTGGTGGGTGACGCACGCGGACGGTCCTATTGGAGCCTTTGGTGGAGCTCCCCATGGGGCCACGAAGTGCTTTGCTGTGTGGTGGGTGACGCATGCGGGCGGTCCACCCGGAGCCTTCGGTGGAGCTTTCTATGGGGCTACGAAGCGCTAGACTGGGTGGGTGAAACGCAGGGAAGAGGGAAGAGGTGGAAGGAAGGAAGGAAGAAAGGAAGGAAGGGAGGAGGAGAACGCGGGGACCGTGTCTTCAAAACGAGGACCCAACACCACAGGATGGTCGGGAAAAATCAATCGCGGCGCGTTTCCTCATTGCCGGCCTCTGTGGCCCGTTGTTGGGCCTTGGAGCCATCAGCCATGCATCCAGGACGATGAGAATTTGCCCTGGGGCCCAGCAGGCTGCCACGTAAGCGTCCGTTCTTGTCGTGCCCACCCTCTCCTCCTTGCTCTCGCCTCTGTCTCAGTCTCTCTCCTGCCCCGCTGCTCCGCGGTGGAAATGGAACCAGGGTGCAGCTATGGCTGTTCAGTGCCCTGCGTGATCTCAGGTCAGACGCGGGTGACCTAACGCCCCTGTTGGTTTCTGAGAACAAGAAGCGGGACGCATAACTACCCCTGCCGAGGTATGGGTCCACACCTGTGGGGCCGCGGGTCGAACAAGAACACGTCGGGGGACGCCTGGGCCCCCACCCCGCTCCCTCTCGGGGGGCCTCTCGGAGGCCGCTTCCCGGGGGACCTCTCGGAGGCCTCGCCGGCGTCCTGGAAGCTTCCCGGGAGCCTTTCGGGCCGTCTTGGGCCATTTGGGGGGCACCCTGGGTTGTCTTAGGTCAGATTGGGCCGTCTTGGAAACATCTTGCGGCCATCTTGGGCTCTCTTGGGGTAGTGTTGGCCGTCTTGGAGGCCATCTTGGGCGTCGTCGGGCCGTTTTGGCGGCCTGGTGGGCCGTCATGGGGCCATCTTGGACGCCTCTTGGGCGATCGTGGAGCGATCTTGGGACATTTCGGGCCGTCATAGGTGCAGATTGGTCCGTCTTGAAGACATCTTGCGGCCATCTTGGGCTCTCGTGAGGTCATCTTGGCCATCTGTGGCGTCGTGGGGCCTTGGGGGGGTACGGGGGGGGAGGCGTCTGGGTTCGTGATAGGGCCATGGACGCCTCTTGGACGATTTCGGGGCCATCTTGGTTGTCTTTTGGGCAGTCTTGGGCTGTCGGAGCCGAACTGGAGTAAAAGCCAACCTCCTTCAAGCACTATATCATAATCCATGTGTTTGGCGGCCTCGGGTTTTTGTGGAGGTCCTTTTGGAAGCCTCTTGGCCCGTCGGCATCTTGAGGCCATCTTGGGGGGCATCTCCGCCCGTCTTGGAGGCATCTTGGGACCATCTTGGGCTCTGGTGGGGCCGTCTCCGCCGTCTTGGAGACCATCTTGGCCGTCTTGGAGGCCATCCTGGGGCCGTCTGGAGCGGGAAGACTGACGACCTGGGATTCTACGGATCTCTGCGGGGCGGAAGGGCCAATGGAGACCGACGTTTGCGCAGCTTTCCGGTTGGCCGGCAGGTTGGGCCGAAGGCCTACTGGGAGTTTTGAGCAAATAGCGAACTACCTAACACCAGCCACGCGCAGAGCGGGATGGGCGGAGGGGGGAGGGCTTCTTAGAAGCACCTCTGGTTCTTAGAAGGCGCGGGCCATGTCTATAGATGTAAGGCTTGCGCCTTCTCAGAAGCAGCCTCCTTCAAAGAAGCTTTCCCCCTTCCTTTTTTACGCACATACAAGATTGTATGTAAAAGTTGGATGTAAAAAAAGAAGCATTCCCCCTTCCCTCCATCCCCTTACGCGCGCCGCCAATGATATTCGGCACGCCGTGCGCCCCATCTGGCAAGCCGGAAGGGGGCGGCGGCAGCCTTCGGCCCATCCCGGCACCGTGCCTGCCTTGGGGCCTTCTTGGCCCGTATTGGAGCGCTCTTGGCTTCGACATGTCATGCGAGAAACGCCGGGGAAGCGCGGGATGCACGCAGGGAGACCCGAAACAAAATTAATTCCTCAGTCTAGAGGGTTGAGAATGTGAAGGATCTCTCCTGCATATCTCGCGCAGTGTTGTTTCACACGGGAGTTCAACAAATTGTCGTTTCCCATGGTTTTTTGTTAGTCGGAACGTTCTCGTTCCTTCGAAATTTCGTTCTCGCTGTGGCCATTCTGGACGACGGGAGCAAAGCACCGATCATAAAGTGTCGCCAGCGCTGGTTTTCTGGATCCGACTCGTTCCTGGTCGGCATTCCCCTTCCGCTGGTCCTCTCCCTGGACTCCTGCTCCTGCTCCCTCCCCGTCGTCGTCCTCCTCCTCTTCATCCCTCCTGATTCTCCTCCGCCGCCTGCTCGTCTGCCGCTTGCTCGTTACACTTCACATGCGCAAGCGTCCCCATGCCCGACTGCGCAGCAGATGGTGTGTTCAAACCGCGAGATTGCCGCTGCGATCTTGGGCATCGAGGCCGTCAGTGACACCCCAGTCGGCGGACTGGTGGGGAGATCAGTATGCACGATGTGGCGCGCGCGCGCTTAGCCTGCCACCCTGCCCTTGTCCCTCTCCCTACTCCCCATCTTTGCATCAATGTGGGTGGGGGTGATTATCCAGACTTTCGCGAGCATAATGATCAAGTCGGCTTCCCAGTGGCACCGGCCACCATACCCTATAGCTCGCGACCCCATCCCTGGGGGCATGTGTTACATCCTGGGCAGGCCTCCAGTTGGCGTGGGGCCAGAGATAGGCCTCCAGGTTTTGCTGTTCCTTCGGAAAAATTGCATCTCAGTTGCCTCACCGTGAGGGGGTCTTCATGCATGTTGATACGTCTATGTTCATATTTGTCTGCTCCCCAGGCGTGGAGTACGCCGGCTGTAGCGCGGAGGCGCCCGTTAGGGGTCCAAACATCCGCCCGCGATGCCCTTCTTCTCCCTGCCGTTTTCTTTTTCTGCTCCTTCCCATTTGTTTCTTCGTCCTCCTCCTGCGCCTCCTCCGCCTCCTTGTGTATTTCTCTTGAACAGAACGATTCGATTGACACGCTCCTGACCACAGGGGTGAGTTTCAGTATCTGAGTGAAAATCAAGCCAGTGAGGCCTGCATCAAAGTTCTGGAGGCCGCGCATCAGTCTGGCTGAGCATCCCAGCGGCGTTTCATGTGAAATGTCGATCACCAACTGCTCTCCGTCTGTTGCTTGGCTCCGCAAGACTCGGCCACCGGAGTTCGAAATCCGGAATCCTGTTAGAACCCAATCGGCTTCAAGAACGACCTAGAAACGCGCGTTCAAGAACCCCATCGCGTTAGAACCCCATCGCGTACAAACTACTTTCCCTTCTGAATGACACACGAATCACAACAAGAGAAGCAGCGACACCGATGACCAGCAAAGCTTTTTTACTTGTCGCGTATCCACACCAGTCCCTCCAGCATCCAGAAACGATGTCCATGTGAGCTTTGAAGAGAAAGGAAATATCGACAAGCAGCCAGAGAGAACCATAGCCCGATAACGTTGAATGTGAAGGCCTTTGGGAGCCTCTTGGAGGCATTGTTTAGCCATCTTGGAGCTCTTGGCGGTTGGGTCTCCTCTTGGAGCTTCCTTGGGGGCCTTTCGGTCCCTCCTGGAGCCTTTCTTGAGGTCATCGGCCAACGAAGAGGGTAGCATAAGCTAGGAACCCCCGTCGGCCCCTCTTGGGGCCCTTGTGGGAAGCGCGTGGGGCGCTCTGGGGGGCCTCTGGGGCTGGCTTGAAGCCCTTCTGGATCTGGATTGGGGCTATCTTCGGTGATATTGTGGCCATGGGACCTTAGGACTCGTTGCAATGATTGGTTTGGTATCCCGAGGATTTTGACTGTGAAGCTCCGTGTCCACTTGAGGCTGCGCGGTCTTGGGGCCTCTTGGAGATATGCTTGAGGCCATCTTACGCTACCTGGGAGGTCACGTTGGAGGCCACAATTGGGGTACTGGGGCCATCTTGGAGCCATCTAGTGCCCAAGCGGACCCTGCAACGCATCGCGGGGATGAGAGGGGTAACTCCACCCCCGAAGAGGAAGAAGTGCGGTGGAAGAAACAGGTCTCTGAACCACCTACGGCTAAAGGCTGATGGGAGTTCACAACTACTGTCCTCTCTCCTCCTCCTCCTCCTCCTTCTCCTTCTCCTCCTCCTCCTCCTCCTTCTCCTCCTCCTCCTCCTCCTCCTCCTCCTCCTACCCTCCTCATAGAGCGCCCTAGAGCCCAGCAGAACCATTCAGAATCTCTTAGCATTCTCTTGAAACAACCACAGAAGCCAGCAAGACTCACAACGAACGTCCTCTTCCCTTCTCCTCCTCCTGCTCCTGTTCCTCCTGGCATTCCGCCACCTCGTCCAAGCCCCCCTTCGAGGAGCTCCCCAGAAGACCTCAAACGCGCAGAACCCTTCGATCCTCGACACCCCGACGATCCAGGACGAGAAAAACGAGAGGTCGAGTAGGCACCGATGCCGACCCCAGCATCCCGAAGACGTCGGAGAATTGACGACATGCCCAGACATCCTCCGATTCTTTGGGCGCTCCGCGTGGATTTCTTGGATCCGCGCTGGGCCCCCCCCAGCGGTGCCTCCAGCCCCGAGCCTGGCGCGCTCATCCAAGAAATCCGCGCGGAGCGCCACAAGGTTGTGTTTGTTGCGTTTGTCTTCGTCGATCGATGCTTCCCGGACCTATCCTGAGGTGCGTTCCAGGTTGACTTCAGAGGCGAGTCGAGCCGCCGCCGCGAGTTGCGCCGAGGCAGCGAACGCCAGACACGATTCGAAGGCTTCGGTCCTCGATCCTCGTCGCGTTTTTGTTCGTGCCGTGGGCGCCCGGTGATCTCGTCCCCCTCCTTTGGGCCATCTTTGGATCCCGATCCTCTTTTGTTAGGGGGAAAACAAACCTACCTCGCTTTTGACCACCCTCGCTTCCAAGAGATACCAAGCGATGCCAAACTACGGCCTGTACTGGTCAGGCCGCTCGACGAGGAGGCGCGTGGTATGACTTGGTTTTTCCTGGAAGCGAAAGCGGGGTAGGCAATTCACGCTCTGATTTGTTGGCGGCCCCTGGCCCAGAGACGGCCTCCGGAGGCCAGGCGCGCTGCCAGGGCGGCCGCCGCAATCTTGGTTGCTCGATGCCCACAGGCTTCGGCCCCTGCTCCTCGACCCCCCTCCCTCCTCGGGCACAGGAGCGGCACCCCCGCCACCACGTCGCCCCCCTCCCCCCTCCTGGCCCTGGCCTGGAGCCCAGCGAGCTTCGAAGAGCCACCCGACCGTGAGGCTGTGCCGCAGAAGCGGGGCAGAAAGTAGGCCTCGCCCGCATCTTCCCGCTCGGGAGGGGGGGCCAGGTGGGTGTGGTGAAGCTCTTCTTCTCCCTCGATCCTCGGTCCTCCCTTCGAGCCTCGATGCTCACAAACCCAGACGTCTTCCGATTAGATGTCTGTTCAGTCTGCTGCCCCAGATGTCCCGACCCCTTCCCTAGGGGTAGTTTTCCATCCCGGCTCCATTTCTGATGGTTCTGGGGCCTGACGACGGGCTCTGGAGCCCGCAAGCGAGGAACAACGTGCGGAATGAAAATCGTATCGTCGGAGATGTTGGCTTCGATGCTCGAACCTCACTGGCTTCGAGCCTCGTTCTCTGGACCCTCGTTGCGAAACACATGGCAACATCCCGAGACATTACGACTAGAGCCCCTACTGTTCTGTTGCATGTTTCGAGCCAGATCGGTCTGAGACTGCGAGGGTGCCAGCACCCGAAAAAAAGGCAAGATCGCCCGTTGTGACAAACATTGCAAGGCCCTGATCTCAGGGTCGATCTTCGATTTGGGCTTCGAGTAATACTGGGGGGGGGGGCGGCAGCGAGGGCTGCAGAAAGGGGCCCGTCAGGGCCCCCACAGGGGCCTTCTAGGGCACCCAAAGAGGCCAACGGGCCCGAGAAGTGCATTTCCCCCCCCCCCCCCCCCCCTCAGTTATCGTACCTCCTCCATTAAATGGCGCCCCATCGGTCCTCACAAGCCTCGATCCTCGCTGCTCGACCCTCCAGAGATCTGTCTGATGTCGTGATTTTTTCCATGCGGCCCCCCAAAAATCTCGACCCATTCCCCATGGCCAGTTTCGACCTCATCCTGGATTGCTTTGTTGACGGCCCTGGGGCCCGGCAAGGGCCCCTATAGAGGCCAAAAGCCGCGAGAAACCGCCGTCTAGTTTTTTCAATGCGTTGGATCTCTCGACCCCCAGAGATCTGGACCCCTTCCCCAGGACCGGTTTTTCGTCCTGCGTCGTTTTGTTGACGGTCTGAAGGCCCGGCGAGGGCCGCCAGCAGAGGCTGAAAGTAGAGAAAAAAATCCCGCCGTGCTTGATTCACAACGCGAGGAGGTTTGGGATCCTCGTTCCTCGACCCTCCTCCTCCCCCCCGCCCGAGGGCTGCAGCGGTGACGAGGACTGCGCCTTCGGCGCCTGGTCGGAGCCCTCCGCGTGCTCGGCCCCCTGCCGCGGCCACCGGGCCGCCCTGGGCCCGGCAGAACTGGCACCAAAGCTCGCCCCCCCAGCGGGCTTCGCGCCGCCAGCCAGAAGCGAGGGCACCCGCCAGAGGAGGCTACCCTTGCAGACCCCCCCCCCCAGAGATCCAGCGCACTGAAAAGACCAGACGGAGGTTGTTCGCTGTTTTCGGCCTCCAGGGGCCCTCGCCGGGCTCCAGGGCCGTCAAAAAACGACCCAGGATGGAAAACCGGCCCTCGGGAATGGGCCGAGACTTCTGGGAGGCCCGCACGGCAAATATTACGACATCGGATCTCCCCTGACCTTCCAGGAGGGCTAAAAAAATGGCACCCGACTTAAGCACCTATCCCAGAGCTATTCTAAGTCTTGGTTTTAGGCTGTTTCGCTTAGTTTTGTTAGCTTTTCATGCCTCCAGTGCTGAAAAATAGCTCTCTGAAAGGTCAGGGTCTGGGCTCGCGTTATGCACGAAACTCGCGACGGGAGGGTTTTCGTTCTTTTCGGCCTCCGGCAGGCCCTCACCAGGCCCCGGGGACCGTCCACAAAACGACTGCAGGACGACACACCGGTGGGGAAGGGGTCCAGCGCACGAGGCGCTCACTGTGGCGGCGACCGGCGGCGCGCACGGCAACCCCCGCCAACTCCCTACGACACGAGCCAGGACCCCCTCGCGCTATGAGAAAAGCACGGCGGGAGGGTTGTCGCTATTTGCGGCCTCCGGGGGGCCCTCACCGGGCCCCGGGGCCGTCGAATTCCCAGACCGTGGGTCGCGATTTTGGCGCAACGTCGACCCCCAGAGGTCTGGAGTCTGGAGCCTTTCCCCGGGACCAGTTTCTCATCCTGAGCATGTTGATCGGCCTACCGCGACATTTCTCTTGAGCCCCAAAAATGCTTCAATTATCCCGGCGAAGCAACCTAACAGCGATGTGTAGGAGCATATTTGGAAGCATTCCCTTTAAGATTCAGATGAGAATCCAGTTGTAGAATTCTGCTGTTCTCGCAGTCGTAGTCGCATTCGCGATGACAGTCGCAGTGGCAACGGCAGTCGCAGTCACAGCCTCAGCCTCAGCCTGCCTCAGCCTCAGCCTCAGCCTCAGCCTCAGCCTCAGCCTGCCTCAGCCTCAGCCTTCAGCCTCAGCCTCAGTCTGCCTTCAGCCTCGGCCTCAGCCTCAGCCTGCCTCAGCCTCAGCCTCAGCCTCAGCCTCAGCCTGCCTCAGCATCAGCCTGCCTCAGCCTCAGCCTCAGCCTGCCTCAGCCTCAGCCTCAGCCTCAGCCTCAGCCTCAGCCTTCAGCCTCGGCCTCAGCCTCAGCCTGCCTCAGCCTCAGCCTGCATCAGCCTCAGCCTCAGCCTCAGCCTGCCTCAGCATCAGCCTGCCTCAGCCTCAGCCTCAGCCTGCCTCAGCCTCAGCCTCAGCCTCAGCCTCAGCCTGCCTCAGCCTCAGCCTCAGCCTGCTCAGCCTCCTCAGCCTGCAGCCTCAGCCTCAGTCTGCCTGCAGCCTCAGCCTCAGCCTCAGCCTCAGCCTGCCTCAGCCTCAGCCTGCCTCAGCCTCAGCCTGCCTCAGCCTCAGCCTCAGCCTGCCTCAGCCTCAGCCTCAGCCTGCTTCAGCCTCAGCCTCAGTCTGCCTTCAGCCTCTGCCTCAGCCTCAGCAGCCTCAGCCTGCCTCAGCCTCAGCCTCAGCCTCAGCCTCAGCCTCAGCCTGCCTCAGCCTCAGCCTCAGCCTCAGCCTCAGCCTCAGTCAGCCTCAGCCTCAGCCTCAGCCTCAGCCTCAGCCTCAGCCTCAGGCCTCAGCCTCAGCCTCAGCCTCAGCCTCAGCCTCAGCCTCAGCCTCAGCCTCAGCCTCAGCCTCAGCCTCAGCCTGCTTCAGCCTCAGCCTCAGTCTGCCTTCAGCCTCGGCCTCAGCCTCAGCCTGCCTCAGCCTCAGCCTGCATCAGCCTCAGCCTCAGCCTCAGCCTGCCTCAGCCTCATCAGCCTGCCTCAGCCTCAGCCTCAGCCTGCTTCAGCCTCAGCCTCAGTCTGCCTTCAGCCTCGGCCTCAGCCTCAGCCTGCCTCAGCCAGCCTGCAGCCTCAGCCTCAGCCTCAGCCTCAGCCTCAGCCTGCCTCAGCCTCAGCCAGCCTCAGCCTCAGCCTGCCTCAGCCTCAGCCTCAGCTGCTTCAGCCTCAGCCTCAGGCCTCAGCCTCAGCCTCGCCTGCCCTCAGCCTCAGCTGCCTCAGCCTCAGCCTCAGCCTCAGCCTCAGCCTGCCTCAGCATCAGCCTGCCTCAGCCTCAGCCTCAGCCTGCCTCAGCCTCAGCCGCAGCCTGCTTCAGCCTCAGCCTCAGTCTGCCCTCAACCTCGGCCTCAGCCTGCATCAGCCTCAGCCTGCCTCAGCATCAGCCTGCCTTAGCCTCAGCCTCAGCCTGCCTCAGCCTCAGCCTCAGCCTGCTTCAGCCTCAGCCTCAGTCTGCCTTCAACCTCGGCCTCAGCCTCAGCCAGCCTCAGCCTGCCTCAGCCTCAGCATCAGCCTGCCTCACCATTCAAAATGTGGCCCGGGAATGGAGTTCTGGTAACTCGAAGAACACGAAGTGGCCTACAGTTGGCCCTGGGCATTCAAAATCATGCCCAGGAATGGAGTTCTGGGAACTCGAAGACCACGTAATGGCCTACAGTTGGCTCCGGGCATTCAAAAGCATGCCCAGGAATGGAGTTCTGGGAACTCGAAGACCACGAAGTGGCCTACAGTTGGTTCCGGGCATTCAGAATCATGGCCAGGAATGGAGCTCTGGGAACTCAAAGAACACGAAGTGGCCTACAGTTGGCTCCGGGCATTCAAAATCATGCCCAGGAATGGAGTACTGGGAACTCGAAGACCACGAAGTGCGTTACTGCTTGCTAAAAAAGGAGTCCCGGCACCCGTCCCTGGATCCCGCCCAGACCCGTTTGGGGAATCATGATGCTCCTCTCTTTTGACCCTACTAAAAACCTATCAGTCTTCGCTGTTAGGTAATCACAAGGACACGACAGTCTCAGGCAGAAATGTTCTAAGAACGTTTCGTGCAGACCACAAGATGTTCTTAGACAATTTGTTGGTGGGCCTATAGGCGAGCCAGGACGCCTCGCCACTGCATGACTGGTACGTGGTTCGCTCTTTTGGGGGCCCCTGGAGCGCCCTTGTCGCCACGGCTGCACCCGCCGCGAAGTCTTGTCCGGCTGGCCCCAGAGGTCGAGTCCCAATCTCTGGCGAGATGCTGTCTATATCCGCCCGATTTTACCTGGAGCCCGTGGAGTCAGGCCCCTGGGGAAAGTGCCCCCAAGGGAAGTCACCACCCACCACACCACCTCAACCCAACCCGAACGCTCAAATTTACCCTCGATTTCCAGGGGCGGGGGTCGGGAAACATCGAAAAAACACATATGGAACCCGTACCCCCGCCAACCCGAACTTCGGATCTTCGGGTTGGGTTGGGGTGGTCTGGTAGGTAGTCAGGAAGGGGTCGGGAGATCTGGGGCCGCGATCTGAAAGAACCTGTTCGTCGACCGTCACCAGGGCCCTCGCGTCGTCCTGACATCTCCGCGGGAGGCTTTGGAGCGATGCCCGGCGTCGGGGGGCGGCCCGCGCTGGGCCCCGTCGGACGTGGCTCTACAGCTAGAACAGCGCTGCGTAACTCCGCTCCAGAGCGTTTCGGAACGCTCTCGGAGCTTTCCGGAACGCTCTGAGAAGGCCGCGGCGCCTGAGACATCCTCCACAGCCGCCGGATCTCAGAGATTCCCGCGTTATCCTCACCCGATGTTCTCCTCGTCCTGGCTTCGTCTTGCCCCGGGGCCATGGAACAACGGCTCAGGATGAAAAGCCTGTCCTGGGTGCCTTCTTTTCTTTTTGAGTCGTTTGTTTGTTGTTTGTCCGCCCTTTCGCTTTCTTCTCCTCTTCTTTTTCCTTGCCTATGCGTCAATTCGTTTCCCGGCGTGTCCCGCCCGCAACCCGACCGGCGCCGGCACCGCTTTTGCATACTGGCACAACCGTTCAGGTGTTGCCCTGGGTGGCAGTAGCCCAATCTTCAAGCAGTGGCGAAGGGTCATGGCTCGCCGATAGGCCCGCCAAAGAATGTTCTAAGAACCTTGTGGGATCTGCACAACATGTCTTTCTAACATTTCTGGCGGAGACTGTCTTGTTTGAAAAAATTGGTCTTACGTTATAAGACATTGGGTCTTATGACACTTCTGGTGTCTAAGAACATCCCGTGGTAAGCCTATAGGAATGCCGGGACGGTCGGTCCGTGCTGAAAATCTGGAAGGGAGCCCCATGCGGCCCCAAGACCACTGGGGCCCCAACACAGCGCGAGGAGTTGGGGGGCACTTTGGGCCGGGGCCACCTCGTGCAACACACATCCAGAATGTTTCGGCTCCGCCAGCGGGAGTGAAAATCGGCCATCCAACATGCGAGCGCGTTTGTTGGGTTCAAGGTTTCTGGTGCGAGCCACGTGGTCCTCGGGCGTGGCCAGTAATTATGTGTTTTCCGAGAGGTAGACTGGCTGACCTGACTGTCCTGACTGAGTCAGCCAGACTCGCTGACTGACTGGCTGGCTTATATCTTGATTACTATTGGTTGGCTGACTGGTCACGCCCGTTAGCAGTCCGTTTGACTTCCTGGCATCCGAGTGCGCAACTAATGGGGCAAGTAATCGCAGGCCGCTTTATTTCCATCCGCCGCCAACGCAATTTATGGCGGAACCAGCAGCAGGCCATTTAATGTTCTGCCACCGAGTGCCCAACCCATGGCGCAACTCACAGCAGGCTGCTTTATCCCCAGCTACCCAGAGCGCAACCCATGGCGCAACTACTCGCAGGCCCGTTTCTGTTCGGAAGGTGGATGCGCAACCGAGCGGCTCAACCCATGGTACCATGGATGACGCAACACATGGATGAGGCAATTAGGGCGCGACCCATGGTTGGCACAACTTTGGCGCAACCCATGGGACGCGCGACCCATGATGCCCCCCATGTGTGCCACATCCCCATGGCAGTTTCCAGCAGCTTCTTCGGGGCTACGCCCGATGTGTGTTTGCCGTTTGGGCTGGCGGTGGGGTCGACTCATTTGTTTCCTGAGGAACTGGGCCTCGGGGTTCTGGCGGCTATGGTCTCGCCGTCGCCACCCCGTCGTCGCCCCGTCGCCGCCCGTCGTCTGGGCCTGCGGGTCGGTCTGGCGGCTATCTTCTCGCCGTCGCCGCCTCGTCGCCGCCCGTCATCTGGGTCTGGGGGCCGTTCTGGCGGCCATGCTTTCGCCGCCGCCGCCCCGTGGGGGCCGTTCTGGCGGCTATGGTTTCGCCGTCGCCGCCTCGCCGCCGCCCTTCATCTGGGCTTACGGGTCAGTCTCGCAGCCCGTCGTCTGGGTCTGCGGATCGGTCTGGCGGCTATGTTCTCGCCGTCGCCGCCCCGTCGCCGCCCCGTCGCCGCCCGTCGTCTGGGTCAGCGGGTCGGTCTGGCGGCTATCTTCTCGCCGTCGCCGTTTCGTCGCCGCCCGTCGTCTGGGCTTGGGGATCGGTCTGGTTGTTATGTCGTCGCCGTCGCCGCCCCGTCCCGTCGCCGCCGCCGCCCCTTTGCGCAACATGGATTGCACCACGTCGATCGCACCACATTGATTATGTTGTTTATTGCATATATACATATAGATACTTTTATCCAAAGAGAGCATGAACATTATCTCCCTGGCTTGATTTGATTCCCTATGGCACTCTGAAGTTTACTCATGGTTTTGCCCCGTCGTTCATGTTACATATGTTTTCACACCATCCAAGGGAGTCTGCGTATCGCCCCCCTCCCACCGCACACACCCTTGTAAAATATCCGTATGCGCGAACTCGTTTCTCAAAACCAACACATGAAACGAAGTCCATACGCGCGTGCTGGTCGAAATCTGACAAAATCATTCAGCTTCGTAGGATGTCCTAGATCGAGGATGACGGAAACCTATGGACTACCTGTGGTGCGCCATCATTTGTTTTAAAATGCTATGGCGGATTCTTATGGAACCCGTAGTGGTTTTCAGCACGTTCGTCAGTTGAGATCATTCAGCTAGTGAATTTGTCACGGCGTCGGAGCAGGAGGAAACCAGGACTAGGACCACGCCTCGGATGAGCGTGGGTCGAGGGTTTGCTTCTTGGTTCACGACATCAACAGCTGGGAGCATCCTTTTTTCCCTATCGAGAAACCGCCGATATTATGGGCTCCCCCTGGGGGGGGAAGGAGTACAGCCCCCTGAAGTCTTGACTACTAGTCGGGAGGTGCTGAAGCGCGCCATCGTGGTGAACGGATCTGGCTCTGGGGCGATCTGCGAAGGATCCACGGAGATGATCGAGAGGTGCAACCCTGCGGAGGGACAGGACGAGCCGTACAGCTGCCGCAATGCCCCCTCGGCGGGCGAGAACACGAAGCAGGACTGCGTGATGAGCGGCTGGACCGAGTGGTCCTCCTGCTCCGCCACCTGCGAGAGGGGCTACCGGACGCGCTCCCGGCACGTCAAGGTCAACCCCGGCAACAGCGGCACGCAGTGCCCCAGCGCCCTGCAGGAGATCGAGACCTGCAACAAGGGAACCAGCTGCTTCGACATCACGAACTGCCAGTGGGGCGACTGGACGCCGTGGAGCGACTGCGACGACAGGGTCCACGTCATCACGCGCTCACGCGGCATCGCGGTGCCCCCGGGCGCCGGGGGGCTGCAGTGCCAGGGCCCCGTGACCGAGACCTCGGCGTGCGAGACCCCGTGCGAGGAGAGGAACTACACCTGCCACTGGGGCCAGTGGGCGCCGTGGAGCGAGTGCTCGACCTCGTGCGGGTCGGGTGGCACACGAGAGAGGACCCCTTCCGTCTAGGCCTCCTAGATGGGGTTGGAATAGATAGGGTGGGAGGATCGCGCCGCATCCCCGATGCATCGGCAATGCGGCTCGATGCGGAGCCCGATTTTCTCTACGCCGAGGTCGCCGATGCGACGCTGATGCGTCGGCGATGCGTCGCAGACGTCGGCGATGCGTCGCCGATACATCGCCGATGCATCGCCAATGCATCGGCGATGCATTGGCGATGCGGCGCGATCCTCCGTCCCATCTACTCGGACCCCATCTAGGCGGCCTCTATTCTGGCTCCCTCCTGTCCCCCCCCTCCCTGACGTTTCGGATAATTTTTAAACATAGTCTTCCAGGCCAATCGACTGCTATCTGGGCTGCCTGACCACACGACTCTGGACGGTTCACTCTCTTGCACAGGGTGTCTAGAGCTCCGACGACTGTAGTTCGGCACGGCACCGGTCGATGCAGCTCCTAGGCCCCCACCTCCCAGCGCGCCCCCTCCGCGTCCACGTTCTAAAGCAGCCATGCCGAAGCAGCCTCTCGGCCCTCCGCATCCCTCCCCTACCAGCCAGCGCAGCCAGCCCGCCAGCCAGCGCGTCCCCTCGGCACTGGTCCCGCCAGCCAGCGCGCCCCTTCCGCCCCGACCGCTTTATTCCGGCACGGCACCACTCCCACCAGCCAGCGCGCCCGCTCGGCCCCGACCGCTCTATTTCGGCACGGCGCCTGCCCCACCAGCCAGCGCGCCCCCTCCGCCCCGACCGCCTTATTTCGGCACGGAGCCGGCCCCACCAGCCAGCGCGCCCCCTCCGCCCCGACCGCTTTATTTCGGCACGGCGCCTGCCCCACCAGCCAGCGCGCCCCTCCCGCCCCGACCGCCTTATTTCGGCACGGCACCGGCCCCACCAGCCAGCGCGCCCCCTCCGCCCCGACCGCTTTTTATTTCGGCACGGCACCAGTCCCACCAGCCAGCGCCCCTCCCTCACCAGCCAGCGCAGCCAGCCCACCAGCCAGCGCGCCTCCTCCGCGCCGGCTTCTTCATTTCGGCACGGCACCGCCCCCTCCCCGCCCCCCCCACGCAGCCAGCCCCTCCACCTCGACCCCAGCGCGGGCCCTCCGGCCCGACCGCTCTATTTCGGCACGGCACCGGTCCCACCAGCCAGCACGCTCCCGACGCCCCGACCGCTCTATTTCGGCACGGCACCGCCCCTTCTCCCCCATGAGCCAGCGCGCCCTCTCCGCTCCGACCGCTTTATTTCGGCACGGCACCGCCCCGACCGCTTTATTTCGGCACGGCATCGGCCCCACCAGCCAGCGCGCCCCCTCCGCCCCGACTGCTTTACGTCGGCACGGCACTGGTCCCACCAGCTAGCGCGCTCCCTCCTCCCCGACCGCTTCATTTTGGCACGGCACCCGCCCCCCCTCCTACCAGCCAGCGCGCCCCCTCCGCCCCGACCTCTTGATCCACCAGCCAGCGCGCCCGCTCCGCCCCGACCGCTCCATTTCGGCACGGCACCAGCCCCACCAGCCGCGCCCCCTGCGCCCCGACAGTGTTTTTTTGGCACGGCACCGCCCCCCTCCCCCGTGAGCCAGCGCGCTCCATCCGCCCCGGCTTTTTTATTTCGGCAAGGCACCGCCCCACCCCCCCCCCACCCCCCCCCGCGCAGCCAGCCCTTTCCGCCTCGACCCCAGCGCGCCCCCTCCGCCCCGACCGCTTTATCTCGTTGGCGCAGCACTGGCCCCACCGACCAGCGCGCCCCCTCCGCCCCGACTGCTGTATTTCGGCACGGCACCAGCCCCACCCGCCAGCGCGCCCAGTCCGCCCTCACCGCTTATTTTCGGCACGGCACCGCCCCCCCTCCCCCGCCAGCCAGCGCGCCCCTTCCGTCCCGACTTCTTTATTATGTTGCAAGGGTGTCTAGAGCTCCGACCGCTTTATTTCGGCACTGCACCACCCCCCCCCCCGTCCCGCGCACCACCTCCGCATCACCCCGCCCACCAGCAAGCGCGCCCCCTCCGCCCCGACCGTTCTGCACGGCATTGCCCCCCCTCCCCCCCATCCCTCCCCATCCCACGCCCCCACTGCATCATCCCACCCAGCAGCCAGCGCGCCCCCCCCTCCCGCCCCGATTATTTTGTTTCGGCACTGCACCGCCCCCCCCATCCCGAGCGAACCCTTCCGCATCGCTCCACTCGCCAGCCAGTGCGCCCCTTCCGCCCCGACCGCTTTATTTCGGCATGGCACCGCCCCCTCCCCTTCCTCTGCCCACCCGCCAGCGCCTCGTGACTGTCAACAAAAGATTCAGAACGAAAAACTGGTCCCGGGGAAGGGCTTCAGACTTCTGGGGGTCGACGTTGTGACAAAAACAAAAAAAACAAAAAAAACACGACGTCGGGGGTCTGGGAAAGTGTCTGGAAGGTTGAGGAGGTGTTCGCCGCTGGTCTCCGTGGGCGTCAGGGCCGCGAGCGCGTGCTTGCCCATTGGGGCCTCCTCAGGAAAAGGTTCGGCGATCGGCCCGCCAACAGTTACAGTGGTTCTGCAATATGTATACTCGTTGATTGTGTGAATGGCTGCTGTAGGATGTAGGTTCTGCCCGCTTTTGCAGCTCAATTACAAGCGCGTTGCAGTGCTATAGCTATTGGAAAACAAAGAGGTCGGCGATTACAGAGGAGGCCTCTAACAAAAAAGGGCCTCCGAGAAGACCAGAGCGCCTCCGAGGGGCGGAGCGCCTCTTTCCGAGACATCCAGCGCCGCTTTTTCCTCACAGCGTGGCTCCCCAGAGGCCCGGGCTCCTTCCCTGACCTTCCTTCGTTCAGAAAAGTAGCCCTCCAGTCCCATAGTCCCATCTGGGCGTGTTTAAAGCCTGGACTGGAATTTGCCCTCCTGTAAGGTCAAGGTTCCCAGGGATCCGTGTTCCTCTTGAGCCGTGAATTTCTGGTGTTGCCAGAAGAGTGCCTGGCTCAGGGTGCCCCTAACTTCCCCTTCCGTTTTGGACCCCTACGGGCCCATCTGGGCCTCGTGAGGGCTGCTCCGAGGGACACCTGGGCCTCCCTGGAACTCCTGGGGACACCTTGTGCCGGCTAGGGACACACCTTCAGCTGGCAGCACCCGATCACTTCCAACGGCCCCTGAAGTGCCCGGGTTTGGACAGCCGGCGCTGGCGCACCAACTCTTGTCGAGGCGTGGGCCCCCGGAGAGCTGGACCACCTCCCGGGTGCCCGTGTGTTCGTCCCGAGTGCTGTTCTGACGGTCCCCGGGGGGCCCGCTGAGGACCCCGCGGGGCCGAGAGCGGCTAATGATGAGCCGCTTCACTTTTTTTCCAGAGCCTTGGATGCGGGCAGTACATATATCCATATCCAGAGCGTCTTGGATTTTTTAGGAAGAGGTGCCGCAACGCTGAGGCGCACTGGATATGGATAAAATCAAGCCTCTTGGGGCCAGATTTCTATCCATATCCAGTGCTTCTACGGCTTCTGGGGAAGAGAGCCCAAGACTCCAAGACGCACTGGATGTGGATAAACATATTGCCCGCATTGGACCTCTGGGGGAACCTACCGCCGCCAACTCCTTTTCCCACGACGCGGGGATGTCAGAGCTCACGCGCGCGGCCGGAGAGGACCCGCAGCATGGCGCTGCGCGACGACAGCGCCGACGACGGCGCCGACGACAGCGCCGACCCGCCGACGACCTCAGAGGCCGCCGCAGAGGCGCCAGCGCCGCAGGAGCCCGCCGCAGGCGCCGCTGGCGCCGCAGGCGCCGCTGGCGCCGCAGGCGCCCCTGGCGCCGCGGGCGTCGCGGAGGCGCGGGCGTCAGCGGCAGAGCCGCGTCCCGCTGCCGAGGCGACCTCGGCGGCCTCGGATCGGTACGATCGACACATCCCTCGACGGGCGCCTCCTGCACCCTCCGCGCGGCAGGTGCCGCGCCCCCACGGCCGCCGCTGGCGGCCACACGGGCGGCCGCCGTCGAGGCCGCCGGCGGCGGGCCGCCTCGCGGCGGCACCTGCCGCGCGGAGGGTACGGAGGGGTGCAGGGCGAGGGCCTGCGTTGCATCCTCGAGGACTTCCGTTACTCAGAGCGTGAATTACCTACCCCGCTTTCGCTTCCAGGCAAAACCAAGTCATACCACGCGCCTCCTCATCAAGCGGCCTGACCAGTACAGGCCGTAGTTTGGCATCGCTTGGTATCTCTTGGAAGCGAGGGTGGTCAAAAGCGAGGTAGGTTTGTTTGCCCCCTGGTTACTGTGAGGCGCATGCCAAGAAGCACCCTGCTTGCCTCCAGGGTGCCCTGCGTTTCCTGGGTCTCGCTAGTGTTGCGCTGGAGAGCGCGACGTGCCCACGCCAACAATGCGTGGACTTCCTGGGGTCTCGGGGTTGGGTTTCTTGTGAAAGATGTCTTGCGGAAGGGCCTCCACTATGCATCTTTCTGACACCCGACGCGGGTTCGGCGTGGACCGGGCGCGGATCTGGCTCGGACTCAGCGTGGATTCGGCGCGGACTCGGCTCCGATCGGACACGGTTGTGACGAGACTCCGACGTGGACTCGACGCGGGCAACTAGCGGCGCGAGGGGAGAGGCAAGGCCACTCTAAAGCGAGCTGAGGGACGTAAGGAGTGGAAGCGAGCGTGCGCCCGCGGCCGCGTCGGCTCAAGCGGCCAGCCGCCCAAATTTGACTGCGCCTCACTGCGAGGCACACAATCGCTATCGAGACCAAAAGGATCTTCCTAGTGCTTGAGATGGCATCTCCTCTCATACTGGGACTATCGTTATTACGGTACAACAGAGTTGGAGCTTGGCTTCGCCTGAGGCGAAGCTGTTGGCTGGGCCTTCCAGCCCCTTTCAAATCAGGCCCCCCCGAGGATGCAGCATGTGCAACACAAGGGTGCGGAGAGAACGGGGACGAATACCGACAGCAGTTACCATCGAGAGCAAAAGAACCCCTAACCCTTTATAACACGATGGAGACGTGGCCTCACTGAGGTCCCCGTCTTCACATCAGGGATAATCATTCTGGGAGGTTTGGTTCGATACATTTGCAGAAACGGACCCCTATCCCTACTGTTTTGGGCCCTCCTAACTCAGGTCCCCATCCCAAAGGATTAGGGGTATATTTTTTCGTTAATCAGCGAAGACCGACAGCAGTTACTATAACAATGTTCAATGTTGAACATGATTCGCCGTCGGCGTCGCCGTGGGCGCCGCCCATCTTCAGCAGAAAGGGGGGACCTGCCCAACCGCGGCCGCTGCCAGTGTTGGAGAACAGTCGCTGCTGGGCATCATGCCGATTTCTACCGTGCCCACTTCGAGAGTCCCGACCGAACCTCCAACGCATCGAACCAAGATCGCTGGGGAGCAAGCTGAGGGGCCGTTATTTGAAGGACGCGCGGGGCGAGAGGGGGCGCGGCCTCAAAAAGTATTGAGGAACCTGCCAGACAACCAACGAGCATTCTAACACGCCCACTCCGTGCAGGCACAGTGGCGGATAGCTCTTCACGGCCTTGGGGCCCATTGAGGGACCTCAGGGGTGGAGAATATACACAAAACGCCTTTCGCCGTGATTGCCCCACGCGGGGATGCCAGGTTCCAGGCTTCCTTCTCAGACCTAAGACCCCCGACGTCATGACTTGTGCACGACGTCGACCCCAAGAGGCCTTGACACATTCTCAGGGGCTGGTTTTCGTCCCGAGCAGTTATTTGACAGTCCCGAGGCCCTGCGCGGGCCCTCGCGCTACAATTTCTTTCACTTTGTTCGAAGAAGCCCTCGGTGCAATCCGCGGACGCGGCAGGGCGCGGCATGCAGAAGCTGGCGCGATGGAGCGTGAGATGTCGCAGCCTCTTTTTTGGGCCGAGATTGCCACGCCCTCTGAGATTATGCGGCAGCGTGGCAATCCATGAGCTCTCGCGGGAGATGGTCAAACACGCTGGCCACGCCAAAAATGCGTCTCGTGTGCGTGGCCCGAGGGGGCCTTGGCCCTCCGCCCACAGGCCGCGCCGGCGCCGGCCCGCGAGCCCGAGGAGGCCCCAGCGGCCGCTGCGGCGCCCCACCAGGCCTGGGCGTTGCGAGTGAATATCAGCACGAGCGAAATGGGTACAGAAAAATGGGTACAATGCCCAACAGCAGCCCCTGTTCATTTTAAGCAGGGCTCGCTGTTCGCGCCGCCGCGGCCTGTGTCGATTTGAGACAAAGGGCCGCCTGCCCAACAGCGGCCGCTGTTGGTGTGGGAGAGCATTTGTTGTTGGGCATTGTGCCCATTTCTTCCGTACCCATTTCGGGCGTCCAAAATTAAGGAAGGGGGGGGGGCGGGGGCGGTACATGGGAACTGCGGTGTGACATGTTGCGGCGGCCCACTTGGATCTTGCCTCCTCGTCGTCCTCCTCCTCCTCCTCCTCCCTCCTGCTCCTGCTCCTGCTCCTTCTCCTCCCTCCTCCTCCTCCTCCTCCTCCTCCTGCTCTCCTCCTCCTTTCTCCTCTCCCTCCCTCTCCTCCCTCCTCCTCCTTCCTCCTCTCCTCCTTCCTCCTTCCTCCTCCTCCTCCTCCTCCTCCTCCTCCTCCTCCTCCTCCCTCCTCCTCCTCCTCCTCCTCCTCCTCCTCCTCCTCCTCCTCCTCCTCCTCCCCCTTCTCCTGGGATCAAGAAAGGCTGCGGCGCCCCACCAGGCTTGGGCGTTGCGTCATTGATGGGGGGCGGTACATGGGAAACGCGGTGTAACATGTTACGGCTGCCCACTTGGATCTTGCCTCGTCCTCCTCTTCCTCCTCCTCCTCCTCCTCCTCCTCCTCGACCTCCTCCTCCTCCTCCTCCTCCTCCTCCCTCGACCTCCTCCCTCCTCCTCCTCTCTCCCTCCTTCCTCCTCATCCTCCTCCTCCTCCTCCCTCTCCTCCTCCTCCTCCTCTTCCTCTCTCCTCGTGGGATCAAGAAAGGCTGCGGCGCCCCACCAGGCTCGGGCCCTGCGCCATTGATGGGGGGGCGAGCACACGGGGGGGGAGTGCAGCACAGGTGCGTGCACCCGTGCCGTGCACCCTATGGGTACCTTTCAACGAAGTGGAGCACAAGGGGTGCTGCCCGCCGTGCCCGGCCGCGGGCGCGCCGCGCGCGCGGCGGCCCGGCGGAGGCGGCCTCAGGTCGCAGCGCCCGCGGCGTCGCCGCTCACGCTGACGCTGCCCGCCGTGCCGCCGCGGGGCGCCGGCGCCGCGGCCCCGGAGGCCCTGGCGCCGGTGGCCACGCGGGGCCTCCTGGGCGGCGCGGCGGCCTCGCACCCGGCGGCCGGAGCTGCTCAGGAGGGGGAGAAGCTCAGACCCAGACCCCCTCGAGTAATGAAAAAATCACGACGGGAGGTTTTTCCTAATTTTCGGCCTCGGGGGGCCCTCACCGGGCCTCGGGAGTGGCAAAAAACGACTCAGGATGCAAAGCCGGTCATGGAGAAAGGGTCGGGACCTACGGGGGTCGACGTAATGAAAAAATCATTACGTCGGGGGTCTGGGGAGCGTGAATTACCTACCCCGCTTTCGCTTCCAGGCAAAACCAAGTCACACCACGCGCCTCCTCGTCAAGCGGCCTGACCAGTACAGGCCGTAGTTCGGCATCGCTTGGTATCTCTTGGAAGCGAGGGTGGTCAAAAGCGAGGTAGGTTTGTTTTCCCCCTAGAAGCACACGGGCGGGAGACAGGGCACAGGCGGGCGGGGCCTCAGGCGGCCGGAGGGCGGGCCGGGGTGCAGGCGGTGCCGAAGAGCTTGCACAGGGAAAGGAGCGCCTTGGACAGGAGCCGGAGGCGAAGAGGGACGGACGCAGACACAGTGAGTCGTCGATTCCCAGGAAGATGCGCTACAGTCGGGGGCGACGATAGGGGGGATAGGCATAGGGGGGAATGCATCGACCCTGCATCGCCCATTGATCGCCGATAGGGGCCCGATAGCCCCAACCTGCCCAGGAAGGTTCGGATTCACGATCGGAGGCCTATCGCCGATCTATCGGCGATGTATCGCCGATTCCAAGTCGATGCATCCCCCCTATGCCTATCCCCCCCCCTTTCGTTGCCCCTCATATAGAGGGAAAGAATTCGTGGTCACTCCCTCGCCACCCCCCACAACACAAAGTTTGCACGCGCGGGGAAGACTGCGGTCGAAGTGCAACTCATCCAACCCACCGCCAATATTGATCATTGGGGGGGAACATTGACGCGTGAATGTGGCATGAGTGTTCGCCAATTTCTTCCGGGGCCTGTACGGGCAAATATGGGAAGCGGGGGGGGGGGAAGACAAACATCAAGGAAATATTCAAAGAGTGCGGGGGGTCCTGGGACTCGTGTTCCTTCATTCGTGTGTGTCCCCGAGCCCCTTCGGCTGCGCACGCAATATACCGAGAGCTCCGCCGACGGATTGTGCTCTTCAGTCCCCGCGTTTTGTCCTCGTTTGGGATGCCATCGGCCCTCCTGTCGTCCATGTCGGTGCCGGGCTCAGGATTGGTGCAGGTGCTTCCCCCCATCTTGAGCCAGGAGGGCGTATACCCCGGCAAGGCTCCTTTTTATTCTTTCGCTTCGGTTCGATTCGATTTCGATGGCCTCCGATTCCGATTCGATTCGACTTGGGATTCCGATGTGGATGTCGATTGCCTATTAGCCTGCCGATGTCTGCCGATTCGACTTCTCCCGACATGGCTGCCGATATCTGCCGATCTGATTCATTCCCATCGCCGATCCGACTTGTCGATTCGACTCTGGGCTCTCCTGGGCCCTGGCGTCCGCCGATAAATGCTTTTGCTCAATTCGCGGCCCCCAGGGGTCCCGGCCCCTTGGGGCAATCAGTGGTCACTCCCCCCTCCCCAAAATTCAAGGGTGGCACGCGCGGGGAAGACTACGGTCGGAGCGCCACTCGCGGAACCCACCGCCAACTCTGATCAGTGGGGAAGGCATTGGCAGATGAATGTGGCATGAGTGTTCGCTAATTTTGTTCCGAGGCCTGTACATAGTTGCTCGTCCGGGATCCACCTTTCTTGATAGTCCTGGGGCCCGAGAAACGGCCTGGCCAGGATCTGGCTGGCCACGCCACCAGGGCGCGTGTGAACCACACCTGGGGCCCAGGCTGGGCCTGGCTGGGGTCGAAGATCCGACTTCGTAGAACAGAGTGCAGCATCGCGAAACATCACCGCCGGAGCCCTGGACCCTATCCTACGGCGGCATGCGTTTCGAGCCAGCTCGATCTGCAAGGGCCCTGGGGGCACGAAGCAGGGCAGCATCGCCCGCTGTGCAAGCATCGCAGTGCCCGCAGCTCAGGGCCTGGTTTACCAGCCTCGAACGTATCCCTATCCCCAAGATTGACACGCCACAAGGCGATGACAATCTCAGGGATTCGCCCTCAAAAAATGAGGGAATGCCTAAGAGTGGCATCGTGATGAGGAGGTGCCCAGCATAGGGATAGGGATATGTTCCAGGCTGGCAGGAGCAGAACCCGCCGCGGCCCAGGCTCAGGAGGGGCTCTGGTGTGCGGGCATTCTCGTAGATCTGGGCCAGGGGGTCTGCAGTGGAGGCCCGTGCCAAGGAGGAGGGGGAGGAGGAGGGGGAGGGGGAGGAGGTGGAGGAGGAGGGGGAGGAGGAGGAGGAGGAGGAGGAGGAGGAGGAGGAGGAGGAGGAGGAGGAGGAGGAGGAGGAGGAGGAGGACCTCCTCATCCTCCCTTCTCCCCCGCACGCATGGCAGGAGCAGAGCCCGCCGCGGGTGGCCGACGCCCGGGGCGGCGCGGCCCTCCAGAGGGCCGGGTCCCGCTCCCGGGACTGGCCCTTCGTCCCGAGTGGTTCTCTTGCGGCCTTGGGGCCCGGCGAGGGCCCTCGGGGCCCTCGCGCCGTGGTTTTCGTCGCTGGGCGAGAGGTCTGTCTCCCCAGACCCCCTCGAGTCATGAAAAAATCATGACGGGAGGTTTTTCCTAATTTTCGGCCTCGGGGGGCCCTCACCGGGCCTCGGGAGTGGCAAAAAACGACTCAGGATGCAAAGCCGGTCATGGAGAAAGGGTCGGGACCTACGGGGGTCGACGTAATGAAAAAAGAGGTCTGTCTCCCCAGACCCCCTCGAGTCATGAAAAAATCATGACGGGAGGTTTTTCCTAATTTTCGGCCTCGGGGGGCCCTCACCGGGCCTCGGGAGTGGCAAAAAACGACTCAGGATGCAAAGCCGGTCATGGAGAAAGGGTCGGGACCTACGGGGGTCGACGTAATGAAAAAATCATTACGTCGGGGGTCTGGGTCTTGGCATCGCTCGGACGTGTGCATTTTTCCTTCGGCGAGGACCATCGAGGAGCATCCTTGACCATTTGGCGAACAAGAGCACGCACGAAACCGAGAAAGGCACAGGGAATGGACGTCCGAGCGACGGCGAAGTCTTTGAGGGAACCAACAGGTACCGAAACCGCTGCTCCCCGGAGCCCTCCCAGGGCGAACACGAGGGAAGGGCAGCGGCAGCCGTACCTGTGCCTCCTTGGGTATTTGGTGTCTCAGACCCCCGACGCCCTGGTTTTGTCCTAACGTCGACCCCCAGAGGCTTGACCGATTCCCTGGGACCCGGTTTCTCATCCCGAGCCCCTCTCGTTGACGGTCACGAGGCCCGGGAAGGAAGGGACCAGCGAGAAACCTGCATGCTTTTTCCATGACCCGAGGGGCTGGCGTCCCCCCCCCCCCCCTCGCAGGAGCAGAGCCTGCCGCGGGTGGTCGACGACCGCGACGGCGTGGACCGGTGGGCGCCGCCGCCTCCGCCGGCGAGACCACCCGCCGAGCTGGACGCGGGCCTGCTGCAGGCGAGGCTGCGGGACATGCAGCGGCACCACGCGAAGGAGCTCCGGGCACCACGGGCGAGCGGGAGCCGACCGGGGGGGCGGAGGTGGCCCAGCACTGGTGGTTCTGGCCTGCAGGAATAGGGGGCCACATGCGAACCCTATACCCCATACCCCCCGACGATTTCTGGGGGGGAGGGTGGGGTTCACTTCGTTCGGGAGCTCCCGAGCGGAGTGAACCCCACCCTCCCCCTCAGAAATCGTGGGGGGTATGGGGTAGGGTTCGCATGTGGCCCCCTGCAGGAAGGGCGGGCAGGGACGGGGTTCTTGGTTCGGGAAGGTCTTCTGCCAGGTGAAGAACTGCTCTGGGGTGTGAGAGTGCACCCGATGGACCCAGGGAGGGATCCGGAGGCCGATTTTGGAAGGATGTGGCTTCATCCCCTCTTCTGGCTGAGGGGACAAAGAACCACGGACGATTAGTTGGCACCGTACCTCTCCCGAGGCGTCGTGGATCGTCATCCTAGGAATGGTACTGTGCACATATCTGTGCTCCCAGAGCCGAAACATTGTGCACCGTACCTCGTCGGAGAGGGCCCGAGGGGAATCTCAGCCTGGTGCAAGGAACCCAGGAACCACGCCTGAGATGTTGTGCTTCCTCCTCTGGCGCGCAGCGGTCGCTACCCGTGCCAGAAGCCCCTTGCCCCCTTCCGGCATCGCTCGGACGTGTGCATTTCTTCTCGGCGAGAACCATCGAGGACCATCCTGGAACATCGAGCAAAAAAAAGCACGCACGAAACCGAACAATGCACGGAGAATGGACGTCCGAGCGGCAGCAAGTGCCCGGGGTAGCGGTAGCGATCGTGCGCGGGCGGGGAGCCCGGGCCGCCCCCGCGCACGCACCTGCGGGCGCTCACGCGCATCATGCAGGAGGGCGGAAACACACACACACGGACACACAGACACACAGACACACAGACGAACACACACACACACACACACACACACACACACACACACACACACGCACACGCACGCACGCACGCACGCACGCACGCACGCACGCACGCACGCACGCACGCACGCACGCACGCACGCACGCACGCACGCACGCACGCACGCACACCACACACACACACACACACACACACACACACACACACACACACACACACACACACACACACACACACACACACACACACACACACACACACACACACACACACACACACACACACACACACACACGCACGCACACACACAGACACACACCCGTAGCCATTTTGGCTCAAGATGATCTGTTCCACAGGGGAACGAGTGGATACCGCTAGTCCGCGGCCAGTGCCAGGGCCTCTCGGCCCGACAGTTTTGATTCGTGTTTTGGCAAAGGGTAGGCTGTGCGCTGCCCACTCGCCATGTCCAGTTCCTCGCAGAGGGCCAGGTCCGAGCCGCGGGCCAAGGGTGGCGGCGGCAAAGGCAAGAGCAAAGGAGTGGGCAAGGCAGGCAAGACCAACGCGAGCGGAGGCAACCCCCTGGACTACGTCCGCTGTGCGAACTGCTCGTACAAGTGGAACTTCAAGGCCAGGATGGACTGCTACAATTGCAAGAAGCCGCTCAAGCCTGCAGCAGTGGACAAGCCTCCGCAGCTACGGGCATCGGCGTGGTCTTTCGTGCGCGAGCCGTGGGTGCACTCGGACGACTGGATCGGGTACGAGGCACCACTGCCGCAGCCTGCCCCGCCGTCGGACGCAGAGTGCCTCGCGGCGTTGGCGGCCAGGCATCCCGAGCACGGCCTGCAGCTCGAGGCCATCAAGAAGGCCGTCGCACCACCGCCCGTTGCGGCCACGGTGTTGCCAGATGTGGCTCTCAACCGCGCCCAGGCCAAGCAGAGGCGGGCCCAAGCCGCCTTCCTCTCCAAGTCCCAGCAGGTTCGCGACGCTGAGCAGTGGCTCCAGGCCTGCCGCGAGGAGGAGGTGCGTGCTGGGGAGCTCGTCCTGGCGTGCGACGTGGAGGTGGAGGAGGCCTACAAGGCAGCCGCGCCCAAGGGCGTCCAGGTGCAGGCGCAGGTGGCGCAGGAGTCTGGCGCCAAGGCTCAGCCTGCCGTGGGCCTCAACGTCACGGCGCTGTTGGCGGATGACTTCCAGGTCGAGGCAGGCGACGCCTTCAGGCTGGACGACCCCGACCTGGACATCACCGACGCGGAGCGCGAGGAGTTCAACAAGTCCCTGGAAGGCTTCGTCGAGCAGGTCAAGCAGCACGTGCGCACCACCTTCGGGGAGGCCAAGACGCAGCTGGAGCAGAGGCGCAGCGAGATCGACGCCAAGCACCAGCAGCTGCTGGCCAGGCGCAAGCGGCCACGCACCGAGGCGGCAGGAGCAGCAGACCAGACGCCAGCCCAGGAGCCAGCCGCAGGCCCTGCGGCAGCAGGCCCCGCGGAGGCCCCAGCGGCCGCCGCGGCCCCAGCCCAGGCCCCTGCCCCTGTGCCGCCTGGGGCCCCTGCTGGGCCTCCTGTTGCTCACCTTCCAGAGCCACCCAGCCTCCGCGGCCCCGATGGCGCAGCCAAGTTGGCTCAGCTCAGGCGGGACTTGGAAGCAGCAGCCGCCGTCCCAGCTGGGGGCGCAGATGCGTAAGGCCCAGCCCTGGGGACCTGATGCACCGCCAGTGGCCAAGCCACGAGAGCCCAGACTCGTCCGCCTGGGCAGACGGCAGCTGGCCATCCTGGCCACGCGTATGCGCCGCATGGCTCGGCGCTGGCGCCCCCCGTCTGTGGGGACCGAGGCTCAGGACCGCAGGCACTGGGACTCCTACTGCGTACCGTACATCTTCCACCAGCTGAGCTCTGGGGAGTACACAGCCATGCTGGACGACCTGGCAGCCACCACGGGCAGCGGATCCCGAATTGCCGAGCGCATGAGGACTGCACGGGAGTTGGGCGACGAAGCCTGGAACCGTGGAGGGGAGGCCAGGCGCCTCCAGCGGCAATGGTTAGAGCATCTGCAGGTTACCAATCAGGAGGCTTTTGAGCGTGAGGCGGCTCAGCAGGACCGCAACCAGTCAGCCGCGGAGCGGTGGTTCGACCGTCAGTCCCAGGCCACGCCGGCAACACAGGCCCCCACCGTCTACTTCGACGACCGCATCCACTGTTGGAGATTGTGCGCCGCGGAGGTGCTGGAGGCCGAGCTCGGCCCATCCACCTCGACTGGGACTTCGGAGGAGCCGGGGCTCTGCTCTGCCTCGCCAGGTGACTGCACCGAGCTCACTCCCACCCCAGCCGCGAGCAACCGCACGGACGAGCACCGAGGAGCTGCCCCAAGCATTTCAGCTGCTGGCCTCTCTGCCGTCCGAGGCAGCCCAGACCAGCTTACGTCAGTCGGTGTTTGCTACGATTCAGCTGTTTCCACGGGCGATGGACTCTCGGCCGTTGACGGTGGCACCCAGGCGCAGCTTTGTTCAGCCAGTGGTCTTTCGTGCTCCACAGTACCCGCGGATGGTGGTTTCTTGGCCGCTGGGGGCACTCAGGTGCAATTTACGTCAAGCCGCGGCCCCTCTGGCTCAGATGCCTCACCTGTTGAGGGTTTTTCTGTCGCCGTTGGAGGCACTCAGGAGCAGTTTACGACAGTTGGTGGGTGTTCGGGCGTTGCTGTTCTCACAGGCGAGTCTCTCCTGGCCACTGGAGGCCCTCAGGCGCAATTTACCTCAGTTGGTGGTTTCTCGGACCCAGTGGTTACAGCGGGTTGTGGAGGCTCTGCCCACGGAGGCAGTCAAGCGTTTCTTGCGTCTGGTTTTGTTTCTGCTGGCTCAGCTGTCTCATCTGGGGAAAGCCATCGCGGCCCTGGGCAGACATGCATCGTCGGCACGGCGCAGGAGGCTGTGGCTCACCCTACCGAGGGCAAGGACCTCAGCGTCGGCAGCGTCGGCGGCCAGTCCACCTGCAGCGGGACTTCGGCAAAGCCCCAGTGCGACGTCGCCAAGTATCGACCCCCAGCAGCAGGAGCTCGTAGAGGCAAGCGTCGACAGCGGAGCCACAGGCGCTTCACCTTCCACAGTGTCAACGCCAGCCTCAGCTGGGGCAACGTTGTGGGCTACCTCCACGGAGCGGCACACCAGCAGCTCACCGAGGGCAAGATTCCGATCATCGGTTCCCAGGAGCACGGCAAGCGGCGTTTGTGGGCCGAAGAGAGCGCACGGGCCCTGCTGCCCTTGGGCTGGAGGGCCCTGCCCGCACCAGCGACGGACGGCCCGAATGGAGGGGCCTCGGCGGGCGTCATGCTGGCGATACCTGCCTGCGTCGGCGTCACCCTTGCAGCTGGACAGCGACACTGGGACATATCGCCCCCAGGTTGTGCGGGCAGGCTCCTGATGGCCACCCTCGAGGCCAAGGGCATCGGCAAGTTACTTGTTTTCTGTGCGTATTGCTTCACGGGTCAGAAGCTGGCGTCAGTGGGCAATTCTGCTCTCCTGTCGGTTATCACAGGGTGGGCAGTCCAGCTCCAGCTGCCCTGGCTAGTCATCGCGGACTGGGAGAATCTACCTGACGCATTGGAGCGTTCGCCGTGGAACAACCAGCTTAGAGGCCGTGTCGTAGCATGGCAAGGGGAAGGGGGCACCAACCGCTCCCCGCATGGTGAGCGCGTGATCGATTACTTCTGGATGCACTCCAGTCTGGCTGCCAATATTTCCCCAGCCCGCATTGACGACGACGCGGTCTACCACCCTCATCGAGCCACATGGGTAGAGTTTCTGCAGCCTTGGTCCGCCTTTACCTACACCAAGCTCATCCGACCCCGCAAGTTCCCGATCCCAGGAGTCAAGCCGAAGCATTTCGATCTCTCATGTCCAGACGTGCCTGCGGGTTTCGACCCCGATGCGGTGCCTACCATGGAGCTCCTGGACGGCACCTGGGAGGTCTTCTGCCACGCCGCCGAGGAGGAGCTGATCCAAAAGGTGGGTTTGGACCCCAGCAGTCGGCAAGCCGATCAATGCCGAGGGCGTGGGGGACCATCACGCTTCAAGAAGTGCCCGTTGCTCCCGACCCACACCGAGGCCATCGCCTCGTACGGGGAGGCCAAGCGCTGGAGGTGGTTTGCCAACGAGTTGGCTTGGCTGGGCATCATTGAAGTGAAGCTTTTCAGCTACACGGGCGCTTCCGACCTGGTCCTCACCACGCTGCACCAGCAGCGGCACGCCTCCATTCGCAAGTTGCGTGACCGCTTCAGACTCCACATGCTGGTTGAAGGCGTGGCTGAGCTGCAGGAGTTCTTCGAGGTTTTCACGTCTCGGGACCGCGGCTACGAAGACTTGCAGGAGCTCGCGGATTGGCGCCTCAGCTGCAGTCAGTATGCCTCGTACTTAGAGTGGCAGATCGGCAAGGAACGACGAGATTCTTTCAAGCAGCGGTTGGAGGACGACTTCCCAGGCTCGCAGGGGCTCCTCCACAGGGTCACCAAGTGGCGCCAGGCTTGGCAGGCCCCCAAGGGCAGCATATCCAAGAAGCTGCTCCCAGCGGCGCCTCAGGCCGCCGTGGACCAGGAGTTGCACGACTGGTCGAAGGTCTGGGTCACTGGCTCAGGTTTCCCCAAGCCATGGAGGGGCCTCCAGCAAGTCGCTGTCACGCCGCCCAGCCCTCACCACCTGCGTGGCTTGGCCCAGCGTTTCAGGGCCAAGACGGGGATTGGCGTGGACGGATGGCAACCAAAGCTTTGGGCGTACCTCACGGACGGCACGCTCTCGGTGCTCGCGTCATTGTTGGCCTGGTGCCAACAACTGGGGCGGTGGCCGACTCAGGTCCACCTCCTGCTCGTGTTCATCATCGGGAAGCTCGATGGAGGGGGCCGACCCATCATTCTACTACCTGGCCCTTGCCGAATCTGGGAAGCGTGGCAGCTGCCCACCATCAGGAGTTGGTTGGCGGCACACCCCAGGAGCTACGACTACACGGCGGCGGGCCAATCCTCCGAGCGTGCGCTGTGGAAAGCTTTGTTGGACGATGAGCTCGTGTTGGGCACAGGCATACGTGCGGCTACGATGCTGGCGGACCTCGCCAAGTGTTATGAGAAGGTTCCATGAGCGTATGTGGTGGCTTGCAGCTTGGTGGGACGGCCCGCTGGAGGTGGTCGCGCTCGCGCTGGAGAGTTTCGCCTTTGGCCGTGTCATTCGTCTTGGGGAGGCCTGCTCGGCGGAGGTCCTGTCCTCCACAGCGCTCCCAGCGGGCAGCCGTTTCGCGCCCACTTTCCTGAGGTTCTACCTCATGCTGTGCTTAGACGACCTGCTGGGGGTCTTCCGCCTCACGATCTACCTGTACGTTGATGACATCGCCCTGCGGGTCATGTCCACCGAGGCGCGCGTCTTGCACATTTTGCCGCAGGCCACGCGCTTGCTGTTCTGGATGCTGGAGTCCTTCTTGGGCCTGGAGGTAGCCCGAGCGCGGGACGGGGCGAGAGGCAAGTGCTCCTTCCTGCAAACGGCCACTCCGTCTTCAGGCTTGACGCAGGCCATGGCCGTCCTGGGAGTGCCGCCCAGCACCTCTGAGCGGTGGCTCGGTATCGACTACGGTCCCAGCGTCAAGGCAGAGAACCAGTCAGCCCCAGTCAGACACGCGCGGCTCAAGATAGCCAAGCAGCGCTGGCCTAAGATACGCGGCCTTCCTCGTGCACGCGGGGGCAAGCTCAAGATGGTCGTGCGGCAGGGCCTCGGAGCCTCGGTCGCCTACGGTGCCCGTGTCCGTGGCACGCCCAGGCCCATCGTGCGTTTCATCCAACAGAAGGATCGGGCCGTCCGCAGAGGCGCCGCAGCCTTTACCTCCCGAGTCTTGCACGACGGCCTCGACCCCAGTTGTGCCGACGCCCTCGTTCTGGCGCCGCTGCTGGCCTGGGCCAGGGAAGCTTGGGACCACCCAGAGGGGCGACGGGCGCAGGCCACGGCATGGGCCAGAGTGCAGCAACAGCTCGCGCTGTACATCGACGCCGACGCGCAGGAGTTGTGGTCAGTGGTGCGCGGCCCAGCGGGGGCCACCTCGGTCACAGTTAGAGCCCATGGGTGGAGCATGCCATCAGCCTTTGAGGTTGTCTTGCCTCCGCGTGGCGGAGTGCTCCAAGGAGGGGACGTACATCTGGATCTACTGCAGATCTGCCCCAAGTCCGTTGAGGCCGCCGTGCTGTTGGCCGCCCGTTCCCGAGCTTTGTGCCAGTGGGCGGCGGCCCAGCCCGAGCGGGCTGCGCTCCTGCCAGCGCCGTGGCTCACCCCAGCGAGGCAGTTGGTCAAGCGACGCAAGCAGGACGGGTGGCTGCAGCACCATGCCGACGCGGTCAAGAAGGCGGTGCTGGGAGGTTTCCCTTCGCAGGAGGCTCTTTTCTTGTCGGGCCAGGCGGACACTCCGTATTGCCAGCTGTGCGACGACACGACCTGTTTCGGCACGCACCAGCACTATTACTGGCGGTGCGGCAGCCCGACGTGTGCTACAGTAAGGGAGCAGCTGACAGCCCACGACGCATCACCTACCTTCAGAGACGTCGGCCACCTGGGCGTGTCGGCCTCATCGTCGGAAGCCTCAAGGTGGCTATGGGAGCGGGTTTTGCGGCGGACCCCATGTTACGGCTTGGCTTGGAGTCTACCGTCGCAGCGCACCTATTGGATCGTCAATGGCGCGGCCCCCGAGCTCACCGATGTGCTGGTGTCGGACGGATCAGTCAAAGGCTTGGATGACCTCAGGCACGGCGGCTGGGCGGCTTTGCAGTGCACAGCGGAGGCCGATGACGTGGTGCAGGGCCTGTACGGCCCACTGCCCTTTCCCGACCCCAGCTCGGTCCTGGCAGAGTTGTGGGGTCTCCTCCACGCCCTCAGGCACGCGGTCTTCATCACGGCCATCATCATTGACAATGCCCAGGTGGTCCAAGGCTTGGCTCGTGGCAGGGCATGGTGTTGCTCCTCGGCCAGGCCCTACGCGCACGTCTGGCTCGAGATCTGGGACCGCCTGGACGACATGGACATCCTTCCTGGCAGAGAGCTGTCTGTCATCAAAGTCACCTCGCACATATCGCAGGCCAAACGTCTAGAGCTGCCAGAGGAGGTCCAGATTCATATGAAGCACAATGATTTAGCAGACGAATGGGCCAAGCAAGGGGCAGACCTCAGCGCGCCGCCAGAGTGGGCCACGTTGCAGGTCAAGCAGGAGCTCAAGGCCACCAAGCGCGTGCTCGAGTACATCGGGCACTTCAGGGTCCTCCTCGACGGGGTCAAGTTGGCGGAGCCTAGGCCCAAACGACAGCAGGGCCAAGAGGCCAACATTCCGCAGGCAGCGAGACCTCAGGCTGGTCCCAGGCACCCGCACGTTCTGGAAGTGTGCCGCGGTTATTCCAAGTGCACCAGCTGCGGCAAGATTGCCCGCACTCGCCTCGCGGCCTTTCAGTTGCAGGAGTGCCGTGGTCGTCTCCAAGGGCTCCAGGGCAAGTTAGTCAAGAGTGCGGTCAAGAGAGGCGGGGTGGCAGTGCCTCTTCTCGTGGCAGCAGGCGCCGCCGCTCGGCCTGTCCGACAACGAGCTGACCATGGAGATCAGGATGGGCCTCGTGTAGAGCCCGACCCTGCGCCAGCCTCCCAGCTGGGCCCCGACCCGCTGTGGGCTCATGTCGCAGCAGCCCGCGAGGCTCTGGGCAGGATGGAGCGGATACCCGACGGCCCTGCGTGCATGGGAACCCCGTCAAGCCAGCCACACATCACGCTCGAGCAGCAGCAGGTCCGTTCCATCATGGACGATGCCATCATCTGGGCGTCTTTCTGGATCGATCGCTTCGACGTGGCAGGCTTCACCAACGAGTGGGACTACCGTACGTGGTGTTCGGAATACCTTGAGAGGTTTCTCAGCCTGGCGACGTGGACTCCAGTTCGAGAGCATCTTTTACGTAGCAACCCTGGCCGCACTCTAGGGCAGGTAGTCGACGACCTATGCGCTACCTCTTGGACGCGGGCCGAGCCAGCCCGTCAGGCTCAGTTCGCCAGAGTGCGGCCTGACTCGGGTTTGACAGCCAAACAGCGACGTCGGCTGCTTCGGCATCACTTCGACGTGCTGAACCAGGTCAGGGAGCGTTTCAAGGAGCTTCTGGGAGATCGTGCCCCGCCTGAGACGGCCTCGTGGCACCAGTGGGTCTTCGAGCCCCTCTCCTCGGAGGACGACCAAGGAGGTGATGCGGCAGGCCGCGCAGCCGAGGGCGCCATGGGGTACGACGATGCCGACGAGTTCGCGGCCCTCTGCGTGCACAGCGACCTCGAGGTGGTGGAGGCAGGCGGCACGACGGCCACCGGCACCCAGGCGTCAGAGCGCGTGTCGTCGCCCAATCCCGACCTCGCCCCCAGGGCACTCCAGCCACAGGAGGAGGGAGCTCCAGCGGGTGGGGCGAGGCGGGAGGGTGGTTTGCGGATCCGAAGTGCGGCAGCCACCAGTTCCCAAGAAGTGGTCGGCGGTGGTGTGGCTGGCGCTGGGGCAGCGGTTCCCACGGTGCCGACTGCTGTTCAACCTGATGGTGAGCCTGGAGCTGATCTGGGCGAGTTGGCCAGCTCCCTGGCCGTGGACGGCAAGGCTGCCACCCAGGCAGCGGCCGCAGCGTGCTCCGCCCCCTTGGCGGCACACCAAGCTCGTGCTGGCCAGGGCAGCCTGAAACACGGTGGTAAGGCCCCAAGGATTGGTTCCTCAGCATCTTCGGCGGCGGCGGCGGGCTTGGGCCAGGGGGGCCTGGCACCGCTGGCGGGGCCCCCGCCGCCCTCGGCTGCGGCCGCGGCGGCCTCGGAGCCAGAGCAGGGTGCGCGCGGGCGGGCGGCCTCTGCCCAGCCCGCCAGGAGTGGCCAGGCGCTGCCTGGGACGGCCAGGGCCGCTTCGTCGGAGCCGCGGCCGCATACGGTCGAGGTCATCGGCCACTTCGTGGTCTGCGTGGTTTGCGGTTCCTACTACAGCTCGGTGGCCAGGAACCTCGGCGGGCCGTGCAGGCGGCTGGACCCGCGCGACCCAGGCGACAGGGAGCGCCTCAGGCGCATCCGCCGCATCCAGCGCGGCCAGGACCCAAAAACTGGACGGGATCTGAGGTGAGGCCGTTGTGCTCGTTCAATGATCTGTCTGGTTTCAGTGCGTGCGGCCCCCCTCGGCGCGGTGTTATCCGTGAGCTGAGGGGCCTGGGCGGGGCTGCCGCCCCGCTCGGGGCGCTCGGGCCTACCTTCCCGCGTTGCGGGTGGCCAGGGCGCGGCGCGTTTCTCGCTGCTTTTCGGCCCCCCTTGGCGGCAGGCTGAGGGGCCTAGGGTGGGGCGCGGCCTCGAGGGGGCCACGGCGCCGCCGCCCTGGGGAGCGCGCGGGGGCGCTGCCCGCGGCTCGGCCCCTCTCTCGGGCTCGGCAGGCGACGGACGTCGCCCGAGGGCCCTGCGCACGGGCCTGGCGAGGTGCAGACGCCCCAGGCCGCCGAGGCACCAAAGCACCAAAGCACACACACAGACACACTCCATCGTCGACTCCCAGGAGAGGTGGGGAGATATGGCAAGTGCGGGGGGGGGGGGGGGAAGACGAGCGCCCGGAAATATGAGAAAAATACGGGGGAGTCGGGGAATCTTGGGAGATATGGCAAGTGCGGGGGGGGGGGGAAGACGAACGCCCGGAAATATGAGAAACATATGGGGAATCGGGCAGTCGTGGGATTCGTGTCCGTTTATTCGTGTGCTCCTGGGCCCCTTTCAGCAGTGGCGGCCGCAGCGCATGCCCCGCCCCGACGTGCCCCGCCCCGCTTTTGTCACTGTTGCCCGCCCCCCGTTTTGCGGGCACCGCTGCCGGGAAGTCATGGAAATAGCCGTGCATGCATAACAATACGGCCAGAAACCATTCTATGTTTCGAACATCTCTCAGAGAAGGAGAAGGTACCCATCCTGCTGCCCTAAACCCTCGTGTTCCCCCTCGTGGGCCTCCCGGGAGGCCCTCGTCGCCACCGCTGGATTCGCCTCGAAATCCTGGTCAGAACGCACCCCGGGAGAGGTCCGGGGAGTAGCGGTATCGGTACCTTTTGGTTTCCTCACTCTCTAAATGGTGTTTTCTGAGGGGCCTATCTAGATAGAACCCACTCACCTCAACATGAATACTGTGCTTGTGGTTGTGGTCGACTCGGCGCCCGGCAGCGCCCACCTCGGCGACGTTCTGTACCAAGCTGGCTGCGGTGCTCTGACGATTGCTGGCGTGCGCAAGACTCCCCCCAGGGTGTATTCCTCCATTGTGTAGCTGTAGTCGCTTGCTGCTCCTGCAGAGGAGCTCGCCGCCGCCTTCGCGCTCGGCTCCTGGGAGGGCTTGAACTCATCCCCTTGCCGATCCTGTCCCAGCCGACCCGGAAGTCTGGGCGTTGCGATGTGTTCCAACCGGGCGTGTCTTGTCCGCCCAGCTCCGGGCCCCGTTGGGCCATCACAGGTCGACTCGGGTCGAAAAAGCGCAGCCGAATGATTGTGTCTAGGGCTGCGGTCGTGATTGTTGTCGCCAGCTCGCAAGGCACCGCGATGCAGCTCGTGTTCGGCTGGTCTGAGGCTCCTGGGAGGCCCTCGTCCACGTCTCGTTTCGCTCGGGATCTTGGTTAAGAAGACGCCCCGGGCGAGGACCAGGGAGTAATTAGCGGTGTCAGTGTCTTTCTTCCAGGGGCCCCCCAAAGGTTGTGGTGACCACACCGCGTGGTGGGTCAGTGGGGATTCGGGATCACCGCACGTATTTGGGGCTCTACCTGCAAGGAGGAAAGACTGGTCTACTCTGTAAGAACGGTTTTTTGAAGGCAGATCTGCCTTCAAAAAATGGTCTACTCTGTAAGAACGGGTTTTTGAAGGCAGATCTGCCTTCAAAAAACCGTTCTTACAGAGTCGTTGTCCGAGGGCGTCTCGGACGACTGGGGCCTCCAGGGTCCCAAAGCCGTGCGGTGGCCGGCCACGCGGGGAGGTCGCTGGGGGCTCCGAGGTCACCTCGCGGTCCGTCACACCACACGGTCGTGGGCCCCCGACGTGTGTCGTCTTCCACAGAATGGATCGTTTCACCTGTCCCAGCCCAGCCGATCCTGTCCCCAGGCTTAGGGGACCACCTGCGAACCCTACCCCTACCCCCCACGATTTCTGAGGGGGAGGGTGGGGTTCACTTCGCTCGGGGGTCTGGCCCGCAGGATCGGGCCACATGCCTCCCTTAGGGGAACAGAAAGTAACATAAACATAAAAACTCGGAGGTCCGCGCGGATTCCTCGGATCGGCGCTGGGGCCCCCCGGCGGCGCCTCCAGCGCCGCCCCTGGCGCGCTCCGCGCGCCAGGGAGGGGGGTCCAGCGCCGATCCGAGAAATCCGCGCGGACCTCCGAGTTTTTATGTTTATGTCACTTTCTGTTCCCGTATCCCTGGCCAAGCCAAGGGGTAATTGCACGCGGCATGCACGTCAAATGCAGCGGGGGGGGCCAAGGAGGGTGCCCGGGAGGCCTCAGGCCCTGGAGGAGTCCTCCTCCTTCTGATGTGAAGGCGGTGGTGACGCCCGTGGCCAAGCCCCAACAGTTTCGGGCATCTCTCGGACATGTGCATACAGTCGGGGCCCTGAAGAAGGAACCCTTTTCGTTGGGGACGGGCTCCGCGTTCCTTAAGTGTTTCGCAGCTTGCCTCAGGCTTCCCTTATGTTTTCGACAGGAAATCGAAGGTTAACATGTGGGAAAAAGGGGCCTCGTTCCTTATTTAGGGTTCCTTAGGTCAACGCCCCGACTGTATCTTTGTCTCGGCGCGGGGATCCCTGAGGAGCATCATGGATCAGCCTGCGACACAAAAAACGCGCACGACGCCGACACATGCACGGGAATGAGTTGGACGTCCGAGCGATGGCAAGAATTGCTGTTCCATTCAGCGTCCCCAGGCCACCGACGTCGCGATTGTTTCACAACGTTGACCCCCAGAGGTCCAGATCCCTTCCCTAGGACCGGTTTCTCTTCCCGAGTCGTTTGTTGACGTTCCCGAAGCCCGGGAAGGGGCCCCAGAGGTAGAAGATAGCGAATTTGTTCCGGTCGTGATCTTACCACAACGCGAGAAGGTTTGGATCCAGACCCTGGATTCTTTGTCCAGCGGTTCCTCCTCGAATATGCTCTCACTGTAATTACCCCGGCCTGCCAGGAGGCTCTTCCTACGAAAAAATGCCTTGTCTCTATAATATGGTTGACGACGATCCATGGAGGGGAAGCATGCTGCCAGGTATTTCCCAGATGGTTAAAACATGTTTTAAAACGCATGTGAAATTACCCCAGTGCGACCCTACCTAGAAGTTGGAGCCCCTAGGAAAGCAGCATTAGTTGCTATGCCATGCCATGCTATGCTGAGCTATGCTATGCTACACTATGCTATGCTATGCTATGTTGCTCTATGCTATGATATGCTAAGCTAGGCTATGCCATGCTGCGCTGTGCTGTGCTAAGCTATGATATGATATGGTATGCGATGCTAAGCTGCGGTATGATATGCTATGCCAAGCTATGCTATACTATGCTATGCTATGCTATGCTATGCTGCGCTATGATATGCTATGCTATGCTATGCTTGGCTGTGTTATGCTATGCTATGCTATGCTAATGCAGCGCTGCGCTAAGCTAAGCTAAGCTAAGCTAAGCTAAGCTAACCCTCTAGGCAGAGCCTAGGTAGGGAATTACACCCAGAAGCCATCCTCGACAGCCGTGTACATCTTGCTGCCTTCAACCCGCCGATCGTCGTTCCGCTGAGACGCGACGTCGCCCACACCGATGCGTTGCGTGTGCTTTGCTTTGCTGTCGCTGCTGTTGCTTTGCCTTTGCTTTGCTGCTATGCTCTGCTATGCTAAGCTATGCTGCGCTGTGCTATGCTGTGCTGTGCTGTGCTGCGCTATGCTATGCTATGCTATGTTATGCTGCGCTATGCTATGCTATGCTGGGCTATGCTATGATAGGCTCTGCTGCGCTATGCTATGCTACGAAATGCTATGATATGCTGTGCTTTGCTATGCTAAAACTCAGCGAAGCTAAGCTGAAGGTAAGCTAAGCTAAGACAAACCTGAGCTAACATTAAGCTAAGCTAAGCTAAGCTAAGCTAAGCTAAGCTAAGCGAAGCTAATATGAAATAAGCTAAGCTAAGATGAGATAAGCAACGCTAAGTTAATGGGACGTTACTGGGGGAACCGCGGGGCGGATACTGGGGGAACCGCCCGGGGCGAGCCCCACTGCCCGGCCTCTTTAAGCAAAGACAGTAAGAACCCTTCTAGGCAGAGCCTAGGTAGGGAAAAACGGTTTGAAC